TGAATTTCTTATGTTATTGTAATAAATTAAGTGAAAATGTTGCATCTTGTTTTGACAGATGGACCACATATCAGTAATGGTGTAACTTTAGATTTAAGCATATAACATGAATTAAACATATAATTCCCTTTGACCTTTCTTCTGCCACCTGCAGTCATACTGATTAATGAGTACCTTTATACTCTAAATAATTTCTTGAATTTTAAACAAACATATGTCCTGCGGAGAAGCTATAACAGCCTAGCAGGAAAAAAAAGGTGGATTTAATTATCAGTACATACAGATAAGTCAAAAAGGCTTTACAGTGTCATTTTTAACAGAGAAATGAGACAGCTGGTTGGCTTTTCAGACATTTCAGAATTTCATAAACATAGCGGTCAGATCATGCAATAATGCAATGGCTGTATGGTAGGTTGGCTAAAGAAATTAATTTATACATGTCAGAATCAGGCAGATTGGTTCTTTGTGTTAAGATTGCCTACTCTTCATCCGGATAATCCACGAGTGGATTAGCTAACCAATTAACAGCTTCAAATGGCCCTTGGCCTAATTATTTTTCAAATACTCTTTAAAATTAGATCACAGCAGATGGGTATATTCATGTCTGATTGACATGTAATTGAGAGATATATATCTATGTACATTTTTAAATAACAATATGTACATATTTAGATAATAGATACCTCACAGAAATGAAGAACAACAATTATTAGAGTATATATTTTGCATCTCTGATTTTTGCTTTCAACTACCAGAAAGTTTTATTTGGCAAATAAAGACCAAAACCTGAGTTTGGTTTATGTAAACTTGTTACTATCAGCACCAACCCGTAAAACACAAGGTTGCCTTCCACCGATAAGCTCTTACCCTTTCAGCCTCAGCGTGAATATATCCAGAAGCCACGACTGTATTCTTCAGCACTTGTCAAGATGGATTAATTCCAGCGAATGTGGGTGTTTGTGATGTTAGCTGACACTATGTCCTGTATTTGGGCATAAGCCTTCTTGGGGACTCAAATCTTAAATTAAAGCATTGGAATACCTTTTTTGAAGTTGGGTAATAACAGTCTCTGAGGTTGATGGAAATTTCTCCTGCCATATCTCATGGTTCTTCCCCAGAAAGAAGGCATTGCTCTCAAAGAAACAATAACTGTCACAGTAGTATGTTTGAGTAAGTTTACAGAACTCAGAAAAAGCTAGGGTAACTAATGGAGCAGTAGCAAAAAAAAAAAAAAATACAGTGATGTGAGCTAATAAACAAAAAACATGAAAAGAATTCTCAGAAGTCCTAGTACAAATAGTACTGTCAGAGGAGTTGCTGTGTTTTAGTAGTAAACATTTTTTTTTGTGGTGGTGGTGGGGTTTTTTGTTTTTGTTTTTACTGGAGTGAGGATGGCTTCCTTGGTAAAAATAAAAGTACGTTCTTAGGAAAGGCATTAGTGAGCATTTCATATTTTTCTTTTACAATCGTGTAAAGACAAAATCAGTTCAGTCAAGTAAGATGACAATATGTGAGACAGCTTTTCTTGCTTGCTTCTACATTCCTACAGTTTTGCTTCTTTGTGTCAGAACTATTTTCATCAAGGGTGCTAACTGTGATGAAATTAGGAGGTTTAGATATTCATGTCTTTGTTAGAGCCTAGCTAATATTAAGGTGTTAATATTATTAAGAGAACATGAATTACAGCTTTTAGTTCCTTTCCTGTGAGAATTTTGAGTGCCAGACATATTTTACATTTAGGAAACTCTGCTTGTTGTGCTGTTCAAAAATATTTCAGATTTAGCATATTTTTATTTTTCTATATTTCAGTGTCTTCACATAATTTATTACAAAGTGGAAATTTAAGAAAAAAAAACCCTAAAGAGACAAATTATTTTTAGCCATTCTTTACTGTGTTTCAGTTATGTTAGGTTTCTGAAGAACAGAAATTAATGATACCTAATTGTATAGCTTATGATTCTGAAAGGACAATAACATTAATCTATAATAACCCTGGCAAAATCATTCTTATATACATTTCTGAATGTAATAGCCTAAGCAAGTGGAGGAGTTTTGCATTCACTTAAGTCATCAAGACAAAGGAATTAATATTTGGCTTTATATTTAACTTCTATAATACATTGCAAATCCCCTGAAATATTTCCTTAAAATATTACAGCTGAATATCAACAAAATAGAAAACAGATAAAATTATAAAAAAATTTAGAAGCTAGATTTAGGATGTCAACTTGTATTTCATTTTGATACTTTTTGTATTTTTTTCTGATTTACACTACTTTTATAATAGCACTTAAATAAACTGTAAACTCTTGAAGTGTTTATTTTCTGCAAAGATACGGTCAGTTCTGTCTTCTCTGAAGAATGAGATCATCCTAAGGATTTGTGTTGGCTGCTGGTGGTACTAAGTACAAATTAGTATTCCATATCAGGGGATTGTAAGTAATCTCTGCAGAGCCAGAGGATTAACTAGCTCACCAAAAGTAAAATAAACTGGTTTGTGTTACAGTAAAATACCATTTAACATTTCTGTCTTTTCTTGTATCATCACCTGTGACCATCCATACCACCACTAGAGATCTTAATTTCCTGATGTGTTCTGTTTACTTTTTCATGCATTGGCTCTTAAGTGCAAATTTATGATCTCCAAAGCATCCTGTAATGCTTCATCTTCTTTTATATTATTCTTGGCCTATGCTTCCCTCAGATCCTCCATTTTCTCACCTTTCTATTACTTTAAAGAGATCACAGTTCAGGTTTGACAAAACCTTCCCCTTTTTACCTTGTATTAATTCCTCAGAACATTTTTCCATTGGTTATTAGTAACCTATGACTGTGGCTTCATATACTGAAGAGTTTGGTTTACACATTTTAAAATTCTTCTGCATCTGCAACTGTATAGGCTTGAACCAGAAATGTTAACTGATAGTGGAGGTAGGCTGATGCATACAATCTGAGAATTTAGTCCCTAAATAATGTGTGTTCCATAAAGAAAAATCATTGGTTTGTTGGGTTTTTTTGGATGCATTATTGATTTCTCTGCCTAGTGTAGAAATTGGTTAGACTAGCAGGATGACAATAGAAGCTTTATTTTTGTGTCCATGATAGAATTTCTAAGATAATAGATTAATACTACTGCTGATTTTAATGGTTAAAAAATTATGTGTTGCAAGTGAATAAGATATTAATATAACTATTTAGGGCAGTGTTGCTGCTTGTGACAGGCTGCATTTGATGGGCTTAAATGAAGTGAAGGTGCTTCCAGCTTTGTAACCTTTCACCTCCTGGATTAAAGTTCAGATGAAGTAGCTAAACATTAAAAATCTCTCTTCCTGCCCTCTGCTTTATTCCTGTGCATGGAAACTCTGGAATAAATCAATCATGGGTTTAAAGCTAAACAAGAAATTATTAGTTATTAGGGACAGAAATCCTGCTGACAGCAGTTTCAAATAAAGGAAGTGTGCAAGTTATGCTGTCAGTTTAAAACTGTAATTGGAAGCTGGCCACTTAGTGTGCTGCAAACAGTACTGTGTTTGATTTCCTGTACCCAAGAAGCTTATCAGAATATTGTTAGTTTTTTACAAGGTGTTACAAAATTAAAGATAGAACTAAGGTGGATATTTAGAAGAGTGAGTCAGCTAGGCTTAAGCAAACAGTTTTGTTATGCAGCATGGCTGTGAGAAGTAAGAGATTTTGATTGCATCAAATCTCACATACAATACAAAGGTTACTAAGCTTACCTATGGACTAGTATGTGGATCTCAAGCTGTGAGACTCTCCTGATGGGTTTTGTCATGTGATCAGCCCATCATCCTGTTGACACAGACTAAGCCAAATTTTGAAATACAGGAGGAAAGAGTTGGCATAGCCTACTTGCCCTTAGACTAAATTGCGTATCCTCTTGCTTGTGAAACCATGGGAGTCATGGGGACCTTCTGTCATGACCCACTTCTGGATTATTCTCTAGGTCATTGGTCCCTCTGAACCCCGAAGTAAATGGGGTTGGTTGTACAGATCTTGACAAAGATTTTGGCAAGTATTTTGTATAATCAGTAGGGGCTTTCCCTAGGTTATGGACATAATTTATATAGGTGAATCCAGTGCGGTGATGTCTGTTGCTTGACCTTTCTGAATTGGAACTGTTTTCCATTTATCAGTACATTCAGTGGCGGTTGGAATAGATGAAAATAGTGAAGATTAAGAATATTCTCATTACAGATTTTAATTAGCACTGTTTTATGTTTGAAGGTAAAAATAAGTGAGCAATTCAAACGCAAAATGTCAAACAGAAATACTGTGTTATTAAAGTCTCTGTCCCATCTAAGAGCTTATGCTGTGCATGATATAAAATATAGGAAGCCAGTATGGCTTAGATAGAACTAAAAATTGATTTTTAGAATTCCATATGAGTGTGTTTAGTTTGGTTGTTTTGTTTTGGGGGGAATTTTTTGCGTTGTGGTTGTGGTGGTGGTTGTTGTTTGTAGGGGGTTTTTTGTTTGTTTGGGTTGGGTTTGGGGTGGGCTTGTGTCTTTCGGTTATTGGGTTGGGTTGGGTTGGATTTGGGTCTTTTGGGGTTTTGGGAGGGTTTTTTTGCTTGGTGATATGTGGAGAAGAGCAGCTAAAACAGTAATGATTCGTGTTTGGTTCTTCTAGGGAGAATCACCTGTTTGTCATGTACATGACAATTTCAGCATACTTAACTAGAAATAGTAACATCAGTAGTGTGCCTACATACAAAAAATACTTATTCACTTCTCAGTGGTTTTGTTTTGAGGGTTTATGAGAAAGGAGAACTACCATGAAAGTCCTGGCAGAGACAGGGATACTCGCATTTGACCACCAAACTGGCACACCAGTGTTCCCAGTTATTCAAGAATTCTGAAAAAAGAGATAATTTTTCCTCTTAGGGAGTACTCAGTTTTTCATTTACTCATTTTGCATTTTATTGTAACTAAAATTCCTGTGTATTTTTAATTAATACTGTCTGGTTTTCCGCATTTCAGGGATACCACTGTACAAAGCCTTACCCTACAACCTTCTGTTAAAGATGGTCTTATTGTATATGAAGATTCACCACTGGTCAGTAGTAACATTTGGATTTTATATTTAGAAATGTTTTTCATTTCAAATTTAAAATATTCGTGATTTGGTTTTTCATGGCTTATTGAGTGAGCATGGTAGCAAACTTTGCATTAGCTTCTACTTTAGTCACATTTGCCCCACTTGCTGTGCCAAATGTGCTTGAGAAACCCCCCACACAAAATGAGTATGAAAAATAATTTAGTATTAACCTGACACATTCTAACTGATAGAGTGGTATTTTCCTCCTCCTCTTTCATAGCACCTCACACCTACATGCTAAGTTGGGCTCCAAACAGCTGTTGCAGCCATTCTTTAGTTCATTCAGCTGCATGTTGACAGTCTAGATGCAAGCTGGCTTTGCGCTTCTCTGTCAGCACTCCATTCTCAGTCAGGCTTCTCACATCCCTCTCTAGCACAGCCCTTTTTCTCCCTATCCAGAAGAACCAGGACCACCCACCTTTCTTGTCCCATCTACCTCCTCTTCCCTCTACTATGATTTGGTCATAGCTTATCCCTGTTCTGAGTCACTTTCTTGTCTCAGTGTCACTGTGACATCACTGCTGCTGATTGAGAAATCAGTATGCAGCTATTGCAGGTGTTTGGGGGAGGTTGTGATGTTATGATTCTTTTCTAGGTAAAAGCAGTGAAGTTTGGACATATTTTGGTAATCGACGAGGCAGACAAAGCACCAACAAATGTTACCTGTATCTTAAAAACTTTAGTAGAAAGTGGGGAAATGGTTTTGTCAGATGGAAGACGCATTGTTGCCAGTAAGTAGAGAGAAAATGTTTTGATCATTGATCATTTGATCATTTGATCATAGAATGCGACATGTTGCTGGTTTTCAGCAATTACACTGCTAAGTAGAGAGCCAAAACAATCCAGATGGATACATTACTTGTTGCTAAAAGGTTAACAATGAAAGAATTTACAGTCATTTTCTTTACTACTTTTGGAATAACCACGAAGTTTTCTTAAATTAGCATTCTTGTGAATTTTGCTGAAATTAAAATAAAATAAAAAAAAACACCAACAAAAAACCCAAACCCCAACAAAATGTAATTTGACCTCTCTGCTTCTCATTCACCATAAGAAATAAAGATCTAATTGACCAAATTATGATCTTGGTTATGCCTATCTAGTCAGTTGGGGTATAATTTGATCAGATCTAGAATGAAGATATGGATATACCTAAGGTTGAATTGTTAAGGATTAATCTAGTCAAATATTGCAAATGCTTACATTATTTAAATATATCCTGCAGGATGAAAGTATTTTGTAACTTGATGGAATTTAATTCATGTGAATTGCAGGAACTGAATATTTTTCATTATTTTCCAAAGAAAGACCATGTTTGAAATGCCCTCTGGATGTTACTAGACACTGTACTTTATGTAATGAGTTTCATTTTAACAAAATTGGGAATAATGTTTGAGTGTGGCAATCATTCAGCACACATGGCACACCTGAGTTTTGCTTGTCATCATAAACTGTAGGTGGGCTTTTTTAAAAATATCTTGCTAACCAGTCCCAGAGGTAGTAAAAGGATGTGCCACTGGAAACATGCTGTAAGGGAACAATGGAGCCAGTGTGAGTAATTTTGAAGAACCAGGGTCTTCACATGTGTTAAATCACATATCTCTGGCTTCTCGCAGATTTTTGTAGTAACCAGGAGGCATTTCAGTCCTGTCTTCCCAGATCAGATAATGTCAGACATATAAAAACACATTTTATTCACCATTGGCTTCACCATTTCAGTGAAATTAGATATAAAGAGGACAGGTAGTCACCACCCCAAGAACAGTGGATGCATTTTTATGTTTTTTGAATTAAACACTTTGGTTAAATTTTCATGTAACAAACTACCAAACTTTAAAATGAAACCTAGAAAACTTATAGTTGAATGGCAAAAAAAAAGGCTATTGAACCTTTTTTTTTGTAACTATTCTTCTAGTTCTGAGAAGAACAGAATTAGATTAGAAGATTTTTTCTTCTAATTCTAAGAATTCTTCTTCTAATCTAATTATGTTCGTTTATTCAGGATTGCAAAGCTTAAATATGCAATTAATACATTTTATTTCTTTTCCAGATCATGCTCATGTAGAGGGGAGAGAAAATGTAATAGTTATTCATCCTGATTTTAGAATGATAGTTCTGGCAAATAGGCCTGGATTTCCTTTCTTGGGTAATGACTTTTTTGGCACATTAGGTAAGTGATTCATATTAAATTATGATCTTTAATAGAATTGTGTAATAGAATAAGTGTATTAATTAGATTTCACGAAGAGAAGGGGTTCTTATGCATATTGATACTTTGTTTCACATAAGGCACTCAAGGTGAGATTCAGCTTGAAGACTCATGTGAATCTACATATGTTAATAAAAGGGCCCAAACTTGCCCTGAAGTGAATATGTGGTCATCTCTGTTAAAACTATTTTGTTTTTTGGGATCTGAACAAAGATTGCAGATAGATAAGGTTATGGGAAATCTTTGTTAATGAGTGTATATCGTATACAAATATAGCAAAAAAATGAGCTGTAAGCATCTCTCTCAACTGTTCACCATTTTTTTCCCCATATCAAACAAGCCACAGGTCAGGTGCTCTCCTCTTTGGTACAAGAGATGGTAGCTTGATGGATGGTTCTTTTCTCTCCTTCTTCAGCAATAGACGCTAATGTGTTATCACTATGCTGCCTGCTTCTTAATCCTCACTTGGCTCTCCATTCATATGGCCATGTGTGATAGGCCTTAGTAAAATACATATATTTGACAAGATATTGAATTCATCCTAGTTTCAGGAAAGGCCATCCAAATTTCACATCAAACAGCGTATCAACAGCAGCCTTATTTTGAAAAGTTCCTGGGAGGTCCTAGAAATCCTGTGTATTGGCAAAAGTTCCCTAGAGCTTCATCTCACAGCGAAAGCAAGAATTTACATTGCATAAGGGCAAGGGATGAAGAACCATTGACCTGTATAGTCCAGTGTTACTATAAGTGGGCCTCTGGCAACGTTTTGGCAATGTTACATGACAGCTATGAATACCCCTCCAGATTCCGCTGATTGTATTATCTGTGTTACTTTGGCCATTTATGTGCAGGCACCTTAATTTGTGGGTTTTTTCTGGTTAACTTTGGCCATAGTGCTTATTCTGTAGGAAATTAAAACATACTCTAAAAAGCAAGTGCAATCTTAAAAAAGCAAGTGCAAACTAAATTCCATGTTACATAGTAGTTCTTTGTGTGATTCCCACTGAATGGGCATTCCATGTCTGAAAGTCATTGGCTCTGAATTTCAACCAGCTATCTTGCCCCAAGATGATTTAGTGTTGCATATTTCTTTTTCATGACCTAATTTCCTTCCTTACATGGACCCTTTCAACAGAACAGATCATGCCAATGTTACTGCTTTTGAACCACATGGCAGAGACTTGGTTAAGATTTTGGGATTCTTCATTAATTTTGTTTTTCAAGCTTAGGGTCTCTAATGCTTTTAATCCAAGTCCTTTTTCAGCAGGATCTGATCTTGTTTCTGCAAAAGGCTCTCTAAGAATAAACTCAATTTTATAGATTATGTGTTTGGGATCAACATAATGCAAATATATAGAAAGAACATTTTGCCAAATGTCTTACTATACTTCAAGACAGGCAGGGAGAAGGGATAAATCCAGTGTTTCCTCGAGACTTCTTAACTGGGTTTGCATTAGGACCTTTCTGCATTTCAAGATTTCCCTGCATCCTGTGGTGTTTTGAAAGGGTTTGCAAATTGGTTCCATTCAACCAGTTATGTTTTCTTTAAAACTTTTTCCTTTTTTTCTGAATTAATTTGGCTTGTGTTTCTTCTTGAAGTTAATTTCTCCCTCGTGGTTGGCTTTGTTGAAATGACAGGAGAGATCTTCTTGTTTCCAGAAACCTCAGGGTTCTTCACATTTTCAGAATAGTTTTTCCCTTATTAAGTTTTAAAAAGCTAGTACTCACCATTCTTTTGAGTCATTGCTTTTTTATTAAAGCTGCAATATTAAACTTAAAGGGGCTGTTGTGATGCTATCTCTTTATAGATTACTTAACTTTGCGCTTTTTTTCTTTTTAGGGGACATTTTTAGTTGCCATGCTGTTGATAATCCCAAACCACAGTCTGAAATGGCTATGCTAAAACAATATGGTCCTGATGTTCCAGAGCCGATTCTTCAGAAACTGGTAGCTGCTTTTGGAGAACTCAGGAGCTTAGCTGACCAAGGAATTATTAACTATCCCTATTCAACTAGAGAAGTTGTGAATATTGTAAAACATTTACAGGTACAGTACATCAGATTTAATTGAAAAACTGAGTTCATCACTGTTAATTTTTTAATGCTTGAAGGTTTTAGAAAAAGATGCCATTATTGTTAATGCATTTTTATTTAATTCTTATGAGAAGTTTTACATTTGGAAGGAAGCATCCTATTTAGATGTTCAGATAGTCTGAGGGTAAGGATTACAGATACATATGGGCAGATTTTTTTTATGCATGTTTATTTATAGATATTAAAAAAAAACCACGAGAGTCTTCTTTTTTGCTGTGTGAGAAAATATCACATTCATACTGTGAATACAGTGTGCCATGTTCATACTGGCCCTCACTATAAAAGTCCATATTTAACATACAATCCTTCAGGGACAGTGCAACTGTTCACTTTATGCTGCTATAAAATTTGTGGGTTTAATCCTTTCCTGTGAAAAAACAAGTTCGTGCTGCATAACAGTAGTACGTCACTGGTGAACTCTTTCTAAGGAAAATATTAGATGGATAACAGCTTAACAAGGAGGTACATAGGATCCACAATTACTTCTTACACACGTTTAACTGTAAAATCATGAATTTAGAGATGATTTGGTGTTTTAAGTGTTACAGTAAAGTCTGACTTTATAAATTGAAAGATGTTTTTTGCCTGAAGTATTTGAAATATAAAGTGTCTTAATGCTCTTTGAAATGGCAGTGCTTTTATTTTGTTCTGTTTATAATCATGAAATTGGTAATTTGATAATTTATAGACTGTTTCTTCTATTATTGAATCCTAGATTTTAAAAAATTAGTGAAAATTAATGTCATTAATACAATTAGAATACAATTTCTTACAAATTTTGACCTACTGTTCCTACGTTTAACGTTATATATAGTATAGCAGGGTTGCATGGCAGTTTTGGGTTTGTGCTCATGAACTTATTCACAAACATTCTTTCATATACACAGACATTTAGATCCTGCATGTTGGAATTAATACTTATAAAAATCTTCAGTTCATCTAGATTTCTGGGGAGTATAGATTTTTGTGCTCTGTGGTCTCTAGAGCGCAAGAAGGTCTCGAGACAAAATTGGTGCTACTATGATATTAATAATATAAAGAAAAAATAATGCTTTATAACTTTGTACTAAGGGTTAATAAGATTCAGACCTAAAAGCTGAGGAATCCATCCAAATAAACACATCAGCAAATTAGTCTGTTGGGATCCATTACCAACTGATAGATATTTGTTTACCAAGCTGATAGAACATGTACATGCAGATCTCTAAACACAGTGTTACATTTAAAATGGCTGTGGAAAAATTACAGACTTGAGTAACAGTTGCTGTGCTGCTGAAAAGCTGATGTTTTTAGGTTTTTTTTTAAATGAACACCTTCCTGTCTTCATACCCTTTTTCTGTTCCTACCTTTCTTCCTAGCTTCTTTCCTTCATCATCTGTCTCCAAGTAATCTGAAGTTGTACTGTCTTCTGTTACTAACTGGTGCAGAAACACAGGACTTAATTCTTGTTTTATTTGAGTGTGAATAGCATCTAATTGAAGATCGAAAGAGCTGCATTGGTAATTGTCTTAAGGGCATTTAACTCTCTGCTTCTGTCTCCTTCACTTAATCAGTTAGTACAGTCACATCAACCTGGGCATTGGGCTCAGATCAGCAGGGAAGTTTCCCATCTGCTAATCTTTCACTTCTTTCAAAGTGAAAATATCCAAATAAATCTCCAACATACAGCTTTGATTTCTTCTGTAATGTTTGTTTTCAAAATCCCAGTCTCTTTGAAAGGATGTAACATTTTGTTTACTCTAACTTGTTTTTCAATCTGAATAAATAAAAAGACTGGGAGGAGCCAAATGTAAACAATGAATAAAAACATAATGGTTATTCCAAAGTAAGAAACTTTTAGGTCTTCAGGTAGAGAAGAAAGAGGAAGGAGGGAAATGAGTCAATAAAATTGCTGGTTCTTAGGAAGGAAGGAGGGAAGTTAGTCATGTTGTTAAACAATTTCCCTTACAGCGGTTCCACAGCCCCATTTTCTTTATACTATTGTGTTGATTTCTTTCACATAATTTTAGAATTTTTTGCTTCTGTATAAAAAAGGTTGAATGTTGTGGAGAAAAAAATTGCTTTTGATTACTGCTACCTGAGAGCATATCTGAGCATCGGGACTAGTCAGTTAAAAATATTTTGATTACTATGGTATCAGCATATTATTAAACTAATCTCTACACTCCGATTAATTGTGGTCCTCAGCATATAGGATTGATTCTAGAGTGCAATTACAAGATTATCTTCCCATAAAGATTAGCAAGTAGAGGACATGTGGTAATTTACTTGGAGTTTAGACACTGTGTTCAGAGCTAGGTTGCCTCTATATTAACTTTTCTTAGGGAAAGGTTTTTTTGGTGAAGGTCAAGACACCAAACTATTTTGAAGACACGAAACTGCAGGAATAGGGAAAATTGTCTGATGTAGGTACCTAACTTGGTTGCTGCAACTTTTTCTCCCCACATACTATACAGGGAATTTGGGTCTTGAAGCTCTAGATGGCAGGTGACCTGAATATAACCTTTTTGTCTTGTTTGCCTCCAGTTTTCAGACTGTGTCAAATGTCAGAAGTGTTTATATTAATAGTGGCTTATGGGCAAGCTAAGAAGCTCTGTTCTTGCTCTGCTGGATTACCATATGCTGCCTGTAACTACCAGCGTGTGCTATGACTGCCTCTCTGCAATCTAATATGCTATTTTTCATGAGGCCTTGGCAGATGTTAATCAGGAAACCCACATTAGCCCAGATAAAATGGCAATAGCTTTTTTACTAACTCTTTTTTAGTTTGGGAAAGCTGAGACTTTTCTGATAGGCCTTCTTTCTTATTTGTATCTGAGATTGTTTTCTAATAGTAAGCACTAGTATAACAGTTTTCAAGCAGTAAATGTCTAAGAAACCTTCTGGACCTGAAATCTACTAATCATCAGGCTTTTAGGCCTGTTCAGTAAGCTTTTGTGGTAAAATAGGACTTTTTTTTTATGTTAAGCCTAATCTCAAAAGAAAACTAGGCTTATCAAATCACGGTTTGTATTCATTTCTCACCTTGCTGCCAAACGCATCAGTAATAACTTCTTACCCTTTTAGCCAACCACAGTGAATCTCAGTTACCACTTTTCAAAGGTAATTAGGTTTCTACTGATTTAATCAAAATCAGTGGCTATGTGACAGAGGGACAAGTTGAAATTAGTGTCTCTGTGAGTGGAAAGACAGGGAGAGAATTCAGCTCCTTGCTTGTCAGTAAATGATGCCCACTAAAGACATGAGCGCTGATTAACCTGTGGCTCAGGAAAGCCATACACATGATGCTTCTGCCCTGCTGACAGGACAACTGAGGAGGCACAGAGAGAGCTGGCAACATTCAGTGAAAGGGCATCAGGGCTGCAGGAGGAAACCAAGAGCACAGAGGAATGAGCAGGTAGGGAGAGATCTGTTAAAATGTGCAGGGTGGACCTTTGAGGTGGTGCTGGCCAGATGGAAAATATACAGGCATCTGAAGGCACTAGAATATGTAGGGAAGTGAGTGATAGTCAGAACACAAGGTGGAAGTCTAAAACAAAAAATCTGAACTCATTGCAGACTCAATACGAGATTTATTTATGACTTTGTTTTCAGGGCAGTGAGTATACCATATTCTAATTAAGATTCTCTATTTGTACTAAAAAACTACTATTTTGCTCATAGACTTTAAGCAGACTATAACAATACATCTACTCAAGGAATGTTAGATCCATAAAAACATGGATTTTTTTACCAAGCCAAATTCTGTATCAAATAAAGCAAAAAATATATAAATAAAAATATAAAATTGTTACAAACAAAACCTATGTTACTTACTATTTTAAGGAATAGCCAAGAATCTAAGCTGTGAAAATACTCTGAGGTGCACACAGAGGTGTAAGGGGAAGAATCAATGAATGAGAACCAGACAGGCTGATGAGAGATCAATATTTTCTCTAGTAATCTCATTCTAAAAATCAATAGAAACCAAATGATTTTTTTTATTTTTGTTCAACTGAAACCTCAAACATTCAATCTCTTTCATTTCTTTTATCTTTTTCTTTTTTTTCCCTTTAAGTAAACGGTCATTTCCTTTCTTCAGTAAGCAATTTTCCAAGCAGTTATTAAAAAGTGATTGGATTTGTTCTGATTGAAATGAGAGACTTGTGATTTTTTTTTTTAATAACTGAAGTAGAGGACCTTTTGACAAGTGACTTGTGTTCGAAACAGGTTTTATTGGCAGCAGTGATCAGTTGTACCTCAGGAAATTTTTCATGGTGTCCAAGAGGTATGGAACTATTGAGGCAATTCATTGCAGAGAAGGGTATCGATGTCAGAAGTTATGCAATGATTCAGCAAACCATGGAAATACTTGGAGACTACTAGTGAAAACCAGATATTATTTGAAGCACTTGACCAAGGTTTCTGCAGTATCTAGTGCAGGACAGGTGAAAGAGCAGATCATGAGTGAATAAGATATCTTGGTGCCAGTTTGTTGGTTGTGCTTTGCAGTGAGAAGGGGATAACAGAGAAAATGCACTGTTCATCATGTACCTAAGGAAAGAATCTAGAATCATAGAATCGACCGGGTTGGAAAAGACCTCTGAGATCATCAAATCCAACCCTTGATCCAACACCTCTGTCGTTACTAGACCATGGCACTAAGTGCCACATCCAGTCTCATCTTAAAAACCTCCAGGGACGGTGAATCCACCACCTCCCTGGGCAGCCCATTCCAATGTCTGATTACTCTCTCTGTAAAGAATTTCTTCCTAATATCCAACCTAAACCTCCCCTGGCAGAGCTTAAGACCATGCCCTCTTGTCCTGATGCTGGTTGCCAGGGAGAAGAGACAAACCCCCACCTGGCTACGACCTCCTTTCAGGGAGTTGTAGAGAGTGATGAGGTCTCCCCTGAGCCTCTTCTTCTCCAGGCTAAACAACCCCAGCTCCCTCAGCCTTTCCTCACAGGACTTGTGCTTGAGAGTTTGATTATATGGAGTATGCACAATTGTGGACACGTTTTGCTCTTCTTATTAAAAAGAAACCACACTTGAAAACAGACTGAAATAAAGTCCTGCATACGGAGTACTAAGTAGCTTTACGCGTTTATGAACCTTACCATCATGTACCTTTTTATAAGTTGGTGGGCTTTTCTTTTTCGGTATGTTTGACTCCAAGGTGCAATTTTCATTATAGAAGTTAGTACTTTGGCTATTAAACATTGTCACAAACTTAAGTTAGAATAGCAGTTGGGAGAAATTTTGGGTTTAGTACCTGTTTAATTCAGTATGGAATGGACATTGTAACAAGGATGGCATAGGCTGTAGGACATCTTATTATCCCACAATAACTTGTATTTTGCAAGACTGTGATAATGCAGAACCTCATGGAGAGGTTTAAAAAGCAGGACATAGTTTAGCATACTTTTATACCAACACTAGTACTAAAATATTCTGTGCCATGTATACCACAGATTAAAAAAGGTTTGTACAAGCCTATTTTAGCATTGGTATTCCAGTCTATCACAGTAACTAGCTAAATTTAGTATTGCTTGTGTCACAGGTATTTTATTACAGAGATTAGATATTTATTAAGTTGGGAAAAATATTAAACTCCTTACTAAGGCTGATATTTGATTAATAGTACAGGTCAAAACACTTAGGAAAATTTTCTGCTTTCTTCTGTTTTAGTTTTTAAGCAAGACTCAAATATCTTTATTTTTAATACATTTATAAACTTCTCTGACACTTACATGAAGTCTATTTTTCAAATTCTTTGTACTAGCCTAGTTCACTAGTGGGGAATAAGACTTCAACTCCCTAAAATACTTCTTCACAAATTTATCTTCATTACTGTAAAAGAGATATACTGAGATTGAAGCATCCAGGTCCTGGTCTGAAATATCTAGTATTTGAATGAAATGCATATGAAGAAAAAATTAAAAGTTTTTAAATAAAAAGGTTCTCACCCCCATCTCTTGCCAAAAAAACAAAGGTAAAATAAAACTCTTAAGCAGCAAGGTTCTGGGATATATAGCAATTTGGTGATTATTTTTTAAAATGCTTTTTATTTGGTTTGCTCTATTTACATCAGTGGTGGGCTGACCCGTGGCCAGGTGTCACCAAAGCCACTCTGTCACTCCCTTCCTCTGCTGGGCAGGGAAGAGAAAATATAATGAAAGGCTCATGGATAAGGACCAATTACTGTAGTGAGCAAAACAGACTCAACTTGGGGAAATTAGTTTATTACCGATCAAATCAGAGTAGGGCAATGAGAATTAAACCCAAATCTTAGAACACCTTCACTCCACCCCTCCCTTCCTCCCAAGCTCAGCTTCACTCCTGACTTTCTCTACCTCCTCCCCTCTAGCAGCACAGGAGGACAGGGAGCTGTGGTCTATTCATCACACATTGTCTCTACTACTGCTTCCTCCTCAGAGGGAGGATTCCTCACACTCTTTCCCTGCTCCATCATGAGGTCCCTCCTACAGGAGACAGACCTCCACAAACTTCTCCAGTGTGAGTCCTTTCCATAGGCTGCAGTTCTGCATTAACTGCTCCAGTGTGTGCCTTCCACAGGATCCTAAGTCCTGCCAGCCAACCTGCTCCAATGTGGGCTTCCCACAGGGTCACAGCCTCCTTTGGGCATATACCTGCTGCAGCTTGGGATCCTCCACCTCAGTTTCTTTGTTAATCAGTGGCATAAGTTTCTTTGAGTGGTTCTTAATTTCTCTTATTTCTCTTATTTTAACTTATAGAATCATAGAATAGTTTGGGTTAAAAGGTAACTAGTTCCAACCCCCCTGCTGTGGGCAGGGAACCTTCCACTAGACTAGGTTGCTCAAAATTCTATCCATCCTGGCCTAGAATGCTTCCAAGGATTGGGACATCCACAGCTTCTCTGGGCAGCTTGTTTCTAGTGCCTCACCATCCTCATAGTAAAGAATTTCTTCCTAATACCTCACCTAAATTTGCATTCTTTCAGTTTAAACTCATTCCCCTTTGTCCTATCACTACATGCCCTTGTCAAAAGTCCCTCTCCAGCTCTCTTGTAACCCCTTAGGTGCTGGAAGGCTGCCTAAACATCTCCTCAGGGTTTTTTCTTCTCCAGTCTGAACAACTCTCAGCCGGTCCTCATAGGAGAGGTATGCCAGCCCTCTGATCATCTTCATGGCCCTCCTCTGGACTCACTCCAGCACTTCCTGTGCTGGGGACTCCAGGGCTGGGTGCGGTACTCCAGGTGGGGTCTTGTGAGACCAGAGTAGAGGGGCAGAATCCCCTCCCTCTACCTGCTGGTCACGCTGCTTTTGATCTAGCCCAGGGTACAAATGACTTTCTGCGCTGCGAGCATACAATGTCAGGTCATGTCCATCTTCTCGTCCACTGGTACCTCCAAGTCCTTCTTGGCAGGGCTGCTCTCAATCTTTTCACTCTCCAGCTTGTATTTATAGCAGCGGTTGCCCCAACCAAGGTGCAACACTGTGCTCATGGCCTTGTTGAACTTCATGTGATTCCCACGGCCCCACTTCTCAAGCCTGTCCAGGTCCCTCTGCACTTGGTCCCACTATGTCATTGATGAAGATATTAAACAGTACTGGTCCCAGTACAACCCCCAAGGGACACCACTTGTCACCCATCTCCATCAGGACCTTGAACCGTTGACCACTGCCCTCAGGATGCAACCATCCAACCAATTCTTCATGCAAAATCATCAGTCCAATACAGTAACAAAACTTCCATTGTTGGAGAAATTGATCAAAATTTGATAAACGTTTGGGATTTTTTTAATGTACATGGCACATTCCAACTAGTATTTTTCATTGAGAAAAAAAACTTTGTGAATCCCAAGTGAATTTCTGTTTCTACAAAAATCCATCATGACGTAAAGTATTTTTTGGCAAGCAAGCAGTGTATCATCTGTTTTTCTATATTCAACAATAGAGTGAGGATTCCTAAATGTATGGCTGAATTATACAAATATATGTACTTGTGTCCGATCTTCATTGTTTACAGAAAGTAAATTGAAAAAATACAGGCTGCTTTTAACTATATTTTTATATGATTACAGCATCTTGTAATGTGTATAATGAAAACAATTCACTATTAATGATCTTGACTATTAAATAATTGTCACATGCTTGTTGTTTAATTCAACAATTTTTAATTCAGAAATTATGTGCCTTCTTTATTTTGGAAACTAAAAGCATAGATTACTTAAGCATTTTTCTGTCGAGAAAAGTTACTGTTACAACTATTCATCTTAGAAGTATGTAATGATATGCTGTAACTTAATAGATAGTCACAGAAAGATATTCAGGGGTCTTTGTTTCTTCACAGAAATTTCCAGCTGAAGGACTCGCAAATGTTGTTCGAAACGTGTTTGACTTTGACTCCTACAACAATGAAATGTGTGAAATTTTGTACAACACTTTGCACAAACATGGGATACCTATTGGAGCAAAACCAACCAATGTACAGCTGGCCAAGGAGTAAGAATAACATAAAATATATGTTAAGAAGACATATTTCTCATGATCACTTTTTATAGTGTGTTATCTTGCTGCTAACTGATTTAAAAACAACCTGGAATGCTTGGAAGTCAATCCTCCACTGGTTCAAATTTATAATCTTCCAAATAAGCTACAACAATATAAATTACTTCATAATAGAGTATTTGCTTATTATTACAATTAATCTTTAATGTCCATGTACATATTGATAGCTTGTAAGGTAAACAGTTACATCTTAATAAAGGGAAATACTTGTTTCTTCTCTTGTGTTTTTAATTGAATCGCAACACACTTCTGTCCTGTTATTTATCATCTAAATCTGTAGAAACAAAAGTTGTCTTCAGTGGTAGTTGGGTTTTGTCTTTGATGCTCGCAAAAGGCTCTACGAAAATATTTCTGCCGAATGGGGCAATTCATGTAGGGTCTAAGAGCCATTTTTGTATGTGTCTGTAAATCACTATTATTCTTGAATTATATTACCAGTTGACATATTACACCATATACTTTTTTCCAGAGGTTAGAATCAAAATAGCTAAATTACGTATTAATGCCCTCTACCCTTCAAGCCCCACCCCATTCCTGAAGGGACCTTACCAGAAGGCTGGAGAGGGGCTTTTGACAAGGGCATGTAGTGACAGGACAAGGGGGAATGACTTTAAACTGAAAGAGGACAGGTTTAGATTAGGTATTGGGAAGAAATTGTTTACTATGAGGGTGGTGAGGCACTGACACAAGTTGCCCAGAGAAGCTGTGGATGCCCCGTCCCTGGAAGTGTCCAAGACCAGGTTGGATGGAATTTTGAGCAACCTAGTCTAGTGTAAGGTGTTCCTGCCCACAGCAGAGGGATTGGAACTAGATGATCTTTAAGGTCCCTTCCAACCCAAATCATTCTATGATCCTGTGATTCTATGAAACAAATATAATTAATTCTTCTAAAATTCACAGGAAACAAGCTTAAGTACATCATATTGAAAAGCAATTGGAAAACTTACTCTGTCTTGAACTTTAATACATAAATTATTTTTGAAGAAACAAATATTTCCCTTTCATGTAGAAAGCTTTATGGATATATAGAAAATTGAGTTTGCCATGTGACACATACATTTTATATTTGCTAAGGAGGGACTGATTTAAATGGCATGATGTCTTGATGTTTACTCCAGTGTGGGTGACCATGCACTGGAACAAATTGCCCAGAGAGGTTATAGAGTCTCCCTCACTGGAAATATTCAAGAACCATCTGGATACTATCCTGTACCATGTGCTCTAGAATGACCCTGCTTGAGCAAGGAGGTTGTACCAGATAATCTGCTGTGGTCATTTCCAACCTTACCCATTCTATGACATTAAGTGTCCATGTGAATGTAGGTTTCTCCTGCTGGAGTACTACTGTTATCATATCTAACATCCTACATATAACTATTCAAAAAGATTGGCAGTGTAGTGCCTGTGGTGTACCTTTTAATTTTGTTGACAGGATTATTACATGCCTAGGAAACCAACAACTACAATTTCTGCCGAATTGACAGTACACACTTGAAACTTGCCATAGTTTCTTTGCTAAAAGTCTCTTGGTAACTTCTCTTTTAAAGAATTATGATGTTTGCTATAGTTTTTGAGAAATTTGCTCTTTGTATAATTTTTTAGAAGTCTTAGATGTGGGAGAGGACTCTTTGGTAATGAGAAGATCAGAGGTTTAGGAAGCATAAGAGAAAGACTGCTGTAATTGGGGACAGCTCAGTCTAGAAGTGATAAAATAGAAGAATGCACTAATTATATTGATGCAATTATATTGAATTAAAGATAATCACCTGATTGTTTTTAATTCATCACTGAGGTTTTATAGGACAGGTTACGCCAAGGATGAAGGACTTACAAGAACCCTACAAGATGCCTATCAACTTCATTTGACTGGCAGCTATGAGCACATTCTTTGTACACTGATACCCAAGGGGAGGAGAAACTACAGAAGTGGTTCACACACAGTTGATAAGCAACATTTTCTTAGATCTCACCATCTGGGCTGACCACCTGGCTCTCATGATCCAGAAATATGGGTCTCAGTCCCTCACTACTGCTGGAATTTGAGGTTATCCTACTGCTCCATTGCAGGACAGCCTTGCTGTTGATCATGAGATTTAACCCTATGTAGCTTGTAAGCCGCAGGTAGATCACCTTGAATTACAGACATATCTTTCAGGAATGGTTTCAGCACAGTTGATTCTGCCTTGGGGTAAAAGAACATTGAGATAATCTCTTCAAATCTACTCCAGTCCGTAATTGCAAGCTCCCGTGATGGACACATTGAGGTAATTTGGTATATGGTGTTTGGACCACTGCAGAAAAGGTACTAGAGTACTGACTTCCTCCCTAATGTTTTCCATGAATCTGAGAGGAGGATAATGGTGCTTATGTGGTCCATCCCACTACCTTAAGGAAACCTTATACCTTTTTTTCATGATTCATGCCTGACGACCTTCAGAGATGGAGTTCTATAACCTCCCAAAGCAAGTCAGTCTTGTTGCTAAATATCCATGCCATTAGAAAGTCACCTCTCAATCTTTCCTCTTTTTTAAGGCCATTGGTTGATTTTATTTTTCTTTTATGCTCCTTCTCTTCACTTGATTTGTGTCTATCTTTAAGCATTGTGTGTGAAACTGGGCGAGTTCGTTTCTACTGGAACCAAGTACAGTACAAGAGTATAGAATGTAGATGTATAGAGATGTATTTCATGCCACGGTTCCTTTTAAAAAGCTCAGTATGTTTGCATTTCTTTCAATGTTTAACTCATCTTTGGTTTTCTAAACATAAACCTCCACATCCTTTCTGCAGAACCCTCCATGGCTCTTATCCCGTCGTCACTTTATGTAATCAACTTCCTTCATGCTTACATTTTTCTTACTGTCTTGTATTTTTTCAAGTTAGTTCTCTGACTTGTCAAGATCACTTTCTGTTTTAAGCTCATTTTTCTACCTGCTTCTAGGCTTTCACAAGTTGACAGTCTGAAGGTTTACCAGGTATGATTTCTACATTGCTGTGAGCAAAAACAGCATACCCCCACAGATCACTTCTATGCTCCTGTCTTAATTTTCTAGACTTCTAAGACTTACTAGTTATCATAATAAATTGCTCAGGGTTTCTACTAAGTAGCATGAACACTGGGATAGTAGTCCAAACCAATTCTGCTCAAGGATGTTAGTCAAACCTACAGCAAAATCATTGTATAAGAATACAAAGTTTTGCATTATAGAAGCATTTCCGGGAGATTCTAGGACAGGAAAATCATTACAGTGAAATGCTCAGTCCTTTATACAGGTATCTTCTGGTATGTCTTGTATCAAATGATTTGGGAATCTTTATTTTAATAAGCTTTGGAGAAGCCTGTCATGTACTACTTAATATAAAACTTGTATAAATCAGAATTATTTAAATTGCTACTGAAACATAACTGCTGTAAATACAGGAAAGAAGCCATGAGACACACTGGCAATGCACTATAATACAGGGTCTCAACAGAAGAAACTTTAGGGTTGTATCCAGCTGAAATTACAAGGGAAATTGAACAGACGCTAGCAGTGAGTCTTATGGGAATTTTAGATAAAACTTTGGAATTAATATACCTAATCTTGGATGGAAAGATTAGATGGTGTCTAATGACCATATAGAAAATAATTCTTGCAGTAGTTCTATTTTGAAACATAAATTAATTTGTAGATACTGATTTGTTTATTTACAAAATTAGTATCATATATTAGACCTCTAAAGCAATGCTTTACTTGCACTTTTTGTTTTCTTCAGTTGTCATTTTTTCCCAGATAGGGACCTGGGAGTTTGGATTGACAGGAAGCTGAACACGAGCCAGCAGTGTGCCCAGGTGGCCAAGAAGGCCAATGGCATCCTGGCCTGGATCAGGAACAGTGTGGCCAACAGGTCCAGGGAAGTGATTCTTCCCCTGTACTCAGTGCTGGTGAGGGCACACCTGGAGTACTGTGTCCAGTTCTGGGGCCCTCAGTTCAGGAAGGATATTGAGGTGCTGGAGCAGGTCCAGAGAAGAGCAACGAGGCTGGTGAAGGAACTCGAGCACAAGTCCTATGAGGAGAGGCTGAGGGAGCTGGGGTGGTTTAACCTGGAGAAGAAGAGGCTCAGGGGAGACCTCATCACTCTCTACAACTCCCTGAAAGGAGGTCGTAGCCAGGTGGGGGTTTGTCTCTTCTCCCTGGCAACCAGCATCAGGACAAGAGGGCATGGTCTTAAGCTCTGCCAGGGGAGGTTTAGGTTGGATATTAGGAAGAAATTCTTTACAGAGAGAGTAATCAGACATTGGAATGGGCTGCCCAGGGAGGTGGTGGATTCACCGTCCCTGGAGGTTTTTAAGATGAGACTGGATGTGGCACTTAGTGCCATGGTCTAGTAACGACAGAGGTGTTGGATCAAGGGTTAGACTTGATGATCTTGGAGGTTCTTTCCAACTCGGCTGAATCTATGATTCTATGATAACCATTCTTCAAGGCACTGACATGTTCCGTATTGTCAGGTTATAACATTATGGTATTGTCTGTCCTTCCTCATATCACCTGTCCAGTAGTTTATAATTTTTATCAGTATTGTGTGTAAAGCAGATGGCTTGTCTGTGATGCTTTGCCAAGACATAGTGGGTAAAATAATAGTACTCGTGGTACTAACTCATTATCTTTCTTTATGTACAATTACACTTTGTTTTTCCTGTTGACATCTGTTACATCAAATTTGTCTGAACTCATGTTAATCTGCCACTTTGGTGCACAGTTTAGACCATCTGCAGTTTCTAGGTAAAACAGCATTTAGCTCTAATTATGACATTTATCCTTGATGAAATTGCCATTCCATATTTTTCCTCCTGTCACTATCCACATCCAAGTGCTTGCTATAACTTGAATATTTTTTTACATTAACTGAATTTTCTGTATGTAATATAAATATGTAATTTTAACAGCTTTAATTTTCTCTTGAGACTGTTCTTTGATGTTGTTTTTCCCCCCAGGTAATCTGTAGTTAATTGTTGGATATGTCTCATATCATGTATGTCTGTTGTCCATCCTGTGCACTGTGGGGGCAGCTGAGAGTGGGCTTTGCACTTGACTATCAGCGAACAGGAGTTTTAACGTACGACTGTTCTTAATATCTACTGCTTATATTTTTAATCAAAATTATGTTTGAATAAATTGAGGACAACTGGCTGTTAAGGAATTTTCCTGATTGCAGACTGTATCTTACTTTAGTCCAGAAAGGTTACATGGGATGGAAGTCTTTTCAGCTACATGGACCACAGGCTATTACTGGAGCCCTTGAATAATACATTCCGTGCCAGCACTGAGCTGGTTTGCAAGATCATGTATTAAGCAGCTTTGTTGCCTGTCATAGTTCATGTCCGCAGCTGTACTAGTCTGGCAGTGAAGAATTTGCATTCAGTGGAACTTCAGTCTTACAAGATTCATAGCAATTTTCCAGTGTGTTCTCCAAAAGCTAAATAAATAACTTTATGAAGCAGATTCTGTTGACTTTTTGAACACAGTTGTTTGGGTTTTGGTTTTTTTGTTGTTTGATTTTATTTTTTAAATAGCCTAAAATGAATTTATTTTCTGAAATCAAAAATATAAAAATGGGAAGAAATTGTATTCTGTAGGTGTCACTTTGAAAAGTTTTCTAGCAGCATAAGAGAATTACCTTTTGACAGATCGTCTCCCCTTAGACTGCTGTGCATGAAGAAACTCAGGCTAGATAGCAATTTTTTGTAGAATTGCCTCATCAGCTCTAAGTCCCATTTCTGAACAAAATACCTGCTTGTGTATACATTTCATGGGCAGCAGTAATGATGTAGAAAACCTAAATTAATCTAAAATTAAGAGCGAATAAACATTAAAATAAAAAAACCTGAATTTTCCTGAAGCAAAAGGCTTTGACAGATCATAATCAAAGAACTGATCAGTTTTTGCTTTTAAATCTTGGCTTAAATTACTTGCTTTTAAATCTTGTCTTTCTTACAAGATTAGTGCAGTCTGTCCTGTAGTTTTTCTGTTTTAGAAACCCTTTCCAGGTTTGAGAAAAGAAAAAATCACTATCACTCTGTACACCCCTAGCTGGAGAGAGCAGTACTGTTTTTACCAAGCCACTGCACTTCTTATACCCATCAGATCTCTTTGCTTTGCATATTTTTGCCAGTGTTGACATTTCCATAGTATTCTGTCTGCCATTTAAGTAAATGTTGTATGGTTAATTAATTTGAAATACAGCAGTGTGGCAGGAGCACCTTGTGAAGCTTTTACTAGTACTGTCACTTCAAGTTATTTTCAAAACTTGCTTTTTAATTATAAGTCCTAGGAAAAGAAGAAAATTTCCCTTCTTCACTGTGTATCATATATATTTGCTAGAGGAAAGCTGTTAAGATGTGTACACATTTTCAGTGTGGGCATGTTCCAGTCCTTCTGCACCCTCAGTCTCTTCTGAAAGTTATTTGGGAGGCAGACCCTTAATGCCACCAGCTTCTTCAATACTCAGTCTTTCTTGGACCCAATTTGTATGAGAGAGCAGTGAGATGGAGAAAAAAAAAATTGTCAAGCCCTAGAAGAATAAGATCCCTATTACTCTTGACAAAGAGCTCTGTATTATGAACTCTGCTTTCTGTTTTATTCTTAAATTCTGATCTACATTTCCCTGCTCCTTCCTGTTTATGATGACTTGGTCTGCTGCCTCAGAGAAAGTAAATCATTTAGAAATGGGGAAGAGAACAAAACCTCAAGAATCTAGGTGAAAGGAGAAATCAGTTTTCCTGAGGGAAGAGAGGAACTATTAGCAAAGAAAATCTCCAGAATGCTGAAACAGAGTGGAAATGTTTTGTTTCTTTGGGAATGCAATCTGTAATTCTATTGCTATATAAAGCACAGTATTTGGTTAGAGCTGGTTATTTACATATGTTTTGTGTTACATTTTATAGCTATTCATGATTATTAGTAAAGCTGTTGATTTCTGGGATGTTGTCCATGGGAGTAATGTGTAAGGAATTAAAACTGAAGTCCAAATCCTTGTGGAAGTTGATGTTCCATCCACTGAGCTAACAGGAAATAATTATTCGTGATTATAGACATATCAGAGATTATGCTACTCAGACTCATAGAGCAAAAAGAAATCTCCAGGATTTTTTTGCATACAAGACAGCTTGTGGTTCAAGAAATAACCAGTGTTTTGCCAACAAATCATTTAGAAACCCCGAATGGAAGACTGTAGTAAAATGCTAGTTCACAGACATCTAAATTGACATTTAGTATAGTGACTTGACTGTTTACTCATTCTCTGACTGCATGAATAAATTTCGTGAAGATTTTTGTGTATGTTGAAATAGTGCATCCTGAATGTTTTTCCCTAATAGTGTTGAATGTTGTCATCTGCCATATTGTACTTGCTTGCTTTTTTTTTTGAGTCTGACTTAATTTCTCTTCTTAATTTGGAAGAATTTTGGCTAGATTAGCTAGGTGTAAAGAATGGAAAAATACAAACTGAAGTGAGGAAGAATTCAAAATTAATCACTCTGCAAACATTGACATCTATTGATATTCTTAATTAGGCAACAAACAGGCAATGAAGATTCTTTTGGTTCTTTGACTAAGAGAGGGAATTAATGGGATGCACTTTACATGTCCCAATGGCATATTGCTGACACCTGGATATTTATTTATCTATGAGCACCAACAATCTATAGCATCCACAAAATTTTCTGTTTGCAAAAAGTGTCTTTGACTGTCCTGGCAGATGGTCCAAACACATAAAGGTGATGGAGGCTGTCTGCCTTGAATTTCTGGCTTCTCCTAGTGGCTTGAGGTTTGGTGTCAATATACCATTAAGAAATATTAACACATCTTTCCTGCATGAGTAGCAAAGATTAGAGGATATTTGTGTTCATTCCCTGACTCTTCCTCTAAGTTTTTAGGGGAAAAATAAAACAAAAATAGAATTCCCTAAGTTTCATATATAGTCTAACTGAAGTTTTTTGTTTTTGTTTTTGTTTTTTTTTTATTTGAGATCTCTTCTTATTCTGAAATAATATAAAGAAGAAATTAAGCAAACCTCTAATATCTAGAAGGGCAAGTTTAAATGGTGAGGAGAGGGAAAATAATTGTAACAGTAGGAACGAGAATCATCAGATAGAACAGAAGAGACCAAGCAGATACTTTTAACAAACAGTCTAAGAGAACTTCCTTAAAATAGACTTTGAAGATATTTATAGAAACTGGGAGAAAGAATGTCTTCTATTCTCTTGCCAAGTCCTGTACATGTATGGTAATGTGCAACGACATGGAACACAGAATGTTGTTTTGATAGGAGGTCTCTTTAGGAGCAATTGATCCCAAGTAAAAGAAACCAAAAGTTATAAGTTCATTAACTTGAAGGTATTCATGCCAGTTAACAAATTCAAATTGCTCTCAGTGGTTGCAAATCACTTCAGAGGAAAGAAAAAAAATTGTGCTGTTCCTATTTTGCTGTCATGCTACACTGTCATACACCAGTATTTTCTTTTCCTATATAAATGAGTTTTCCTGTCATCCCTGTATTTCTTCCCTAAATAAAAGGTACAGAAATTAATAAATCTACTAAATTCATACTAAATAAATTAATTTACTTACCAAGGCAAGTAAATGTGGCTTTTGAAGATGTCCCTGTCCTTTCTGTAGATGGTGTTGGCCAGAAGGCAATGGGGTACTCTCATGTCTGTATTACTTTGCCTTTGTTAATGTGACCAGTGGTAAAATGAATAGAAATAATTAATGAAACTTTTATTGCATTGTTAACTAGCTGCAGTGTTTACTTTGCTTATTCTGCTGGGCTTTAGATGAGTGAGCCACTGACAGGAATTCCTTTAAGGGTTGCTATCACACCCTGCCTGATCTGAATAAAGCAAAGCAAGACATGGTTTGGATATATTTTGCTGCATATGTCACAAAATTTATCCTTTTTAGCCCATTTTATATGCATTGCTTCTTCTTTTATGATGCTGCTTAGATTGTGACTGTATTAGTAATACAGGAGACTAAAATTTTTGTGATTTAAAATGTAAAAAGGAATGAAATTTTTTTAGCAAGGAATCTTCAGATATATTTCATTAGAAAAATGCAGTTGCTTAAATTATTTATTCTGTATCAGTTACAGGTTAATAAATTTACAGATTCACTTGTTCTTGTATTATTTGACAGACTGCCATTACCAGATCATAAATTTATGGGCTACTGGAAAGTTGATCAGCCAGGAAATGCACAACAGAAGCTGCTGTGTCCATCAGAAACTCAAAAAATAGATGTAAAGGTTTGTATTTTAAACTTTTCTTTTAATTCATATAATACTGGTTTTATGTACTGGGACATGAAGGATCTAAAATGTGATTAATTTCTTTAGGAAAAAGAGTGTATACAAAGTGTGGTCCTTATCGTTTGTTCTTAGGGTTTTTATACTGACTAGAACAATATCATTTTTATATACCTTACCCTCACAATATAAGATGTGCTTTAAAATCACTAAGCTTGTCAGAAGTTCTTTAAAAGAGATTTTTATAAGAATATTGAAAATACCACATGTGAAAACTTTGTAGCTGTTTTGGATGCTTGGAGGTGGCCAGTTTCAGACCCCAGACCTCAATTATTGACTACGATCAGAGACTGAAAAGAAAGCTGTTTTCTTTTTCTATTTTGCATACAGCTGAATTCTTACAAGTATTTGGCACTTCCAAGTTTGAATCTGAACCTTTGGTAAAATTTTATCTGCAGCCAAAGTTTTAAGTCCTTTTCAGCTCTGGGTTCTTGGTAGAACTTCAGTAATTATTACTGCAGTGAGTGAGGAAAAACCTTAATTTCTGATGTGATGTAGGAGTGAGATTTAAACTTTATGTAATAAGAAATTGCCATCAAACTTCTTTGAAACAAAAATATTCTGATTTTTTTCCTTGTATGAACTGGTTTTTATCAGTACATGATACCTCCTTCATGTCACTAAGCAATAATGGTTCCAAACCATTAAAAGACTAAAGTGAAAAGGCATAATGGTTTCTGTACTGTAAAGAAAATGGTAGTACAGACATTCAGAGAGCTTGCAGAAAGCATTTCCTTTTCCCTTTTATTTAGTTAGTAATTGGTCTGGTTTTGGTGTTAAGAGTATTATGCCTTGAAGAAGATTTCTAGATTTTCATGAAGAATAGAGAGTGGGATGTTTTAGGAAGCCCTCATTGTTATCATTTGTTTTAGGGCCCTGTGTACTTAAATATTCAAGGCTTTCCAGTGGAACGACGTGAAGCCAGGTCCCTCAGTTTCACTGAAGAACTTGCTTTTTGGACACTGCCTTTAGATGAAATTAACATAGTTTGTGATGTCACTGTAACCAAAGGTACAGTAAGAAAAGCTACTAACTTTTGTGGTGAACCCAAGTATTATAAATAGTGAGATATCCTGGAGAAGATGAAGAACTAGACTGTTGACTTCGTAAGCATAGTAACACTTCAGCGCATTTACAGTAGTGGGTATTTCTAGATATGTTTGCAATGGAGTACAGGCATAATACTAGGAATTTTAATATTGGAATTAGGAATATCTACTATGGAAATGGACTATAGGAATAATATTTTTTTATTTCCACTTTTTTTTTAAACAGTAGGTGAAATACAAAATTAATCAGCCATTGAATTTGGAGCGCAATTTCTTTGTAAGGATATGCAAACTCTCTCTCAAACTAAGAGAAAGATGTGTAATTAGAGTAGAACACAGCCACTAAATTGCAAGTCTGTTTAATTTGTGTGTTCAACACTGCATTACTTAAAAACGATTCTTTGACTCTCCCTCTGTCAGTTCAATTTTAATACAAATCTTTTAACTTGGAGAGTGCTGTGCTTTTTTCCCCTATTCTCATGCTGATTAAAATTCTTTCTCACTGGATCAAGCCTGCCTTGACCTGTACTACTTATGTCTCAAAGCGAATTGTGCCATTAGAAATATTCATAAATGTATTTAGCGTTCTTAATTTTAAACATGTCTAAACTTTATTGTTATAAACAGATCATTAATGATCAATACTGGAATGATGCTTTTTCTACTTGTAGTACAACTTTTAAATAGATTAGCAGAATTTTATGGCAACAAAACAGAAATTAGGTGGCTTTGTATTGATTTCAAGAATTGTCTGAAGTCACTCAGGAAGGTGCTACATGTGAAAAGTTCTGTAAGGAATACATGAATTTTAAGGGAGGATGGGATAGAGAAGGAGGATGAACCAAGATTATAAACAAACAAAATCGAATGAAAAAGTTTTTTACATATTAGCAGCTGGCAGATGCTGTAGTCCTGTCTAGACAAATGTGTCTTGGACTGCTTGTTTGTCAATAGTGTTACAAGATTCTGCCTGTTAATATTTAATCAGTATCAAGAGATCATTTCTCTCTTTATCTTCCTGTGTCAACAGAAGTGATTTTTCTGTACTTTTTGCTGTATTATCTACCAAGTTTATGTCACATCTATTTCCAGAAGAGCAATTCACTCAGTAGCCTTTCATTATTTTCTTTTCTTATTTCAGAAGAGGAACCTGAAAATGTTCTTTACGTTACTACCTGCAATCCTGTTACTTTGTACTTCATGAATGTTTCTAGTAAGAGTGGATACTTTGTGAATCTTTATGACCTCTTCCCAAGAACAGTTGGAAGTGTCTGGCAACCTTTTGTGACTGTGGCTCCTCTGGGAAATCCACTCAAAGGTCAAGTGGTTCTACATGAAGAGGAGGTAAAAAGAATTAAAATGCAGCTAAATATTTAATGATGAGCAAAGTAGCATCATGAGGGTGGGATCACCAAGGACTCTACCTCTGTAGACTGAAATAGCCTGGACAGGCCTACCTCCTGCTGAATGTTCTCTCTTTTACTGTACTTGAAGCTTAGGAGTTGCCTTCAGCTTCAGTTTTTATGTGGGGATTTTCCTCTTGCACTTTTTAGCTGGACATTCTTGAAGCTGAATTCTACCTGCTTATCTTATTTCTCACTGATAGAGGGAGATTGGCCTTCATGGGAGAAAGGGAGAGAGTGGATCGAGTTCAGGAGTCTCAGTCAAGCAGCATGTTTGCAAAGTGTGAAGTCCAGAGTGAGGTGTAATATGTGAACTTAAGTTCTGCTTCCTTTTTTACTTTTCAAATAGTATATAAAAGAGATGTTTTCTGAGTCACGAAGTAAAATGTTGCTTATGCCACTATTTTTTATTTGTTTGGTGAATCCATTTCTCATTCTATAACATTTGAAGTATTAAGATTAGAAAGGAGACTATGCAAGCCTTAACATCCAGAGTATCAACAATGCAAATTTAGAACCACTGACAACTTCTGTGTTGGTTTGAGTCAAATGCTTTTTTTGAAGACAAATATTGCTTGCTTTCCACTTTCTCTTACTGTCAGTGAACTGATTGTAACATTTCTAATTCAAAACTTCTTTGCTCAAGAGTGGGAAGAGACAACAGTGTATACTGTGGTGCTGCTGTTCATTTTTTAATATTAATAATAGTTAATTATGTTACCTACCAGTCATTGTGGTTTGACATGGGCATGAAATCTGGTCATTGTTGTTGGCTGGTTTTTCCTTTTCCTTTTCTGAATTTCTTCTGCACATTTTTCAGTAGGTGAGAGACTTCAGTCTAGAAGAACTTGTCCTACATTGAGTTGGGGTGTTAAATAATTTTCAGTCATTTCTAGTGTTTTTGTGATACTGTTGTTCCAGGAATGTTTGTCAAGTGTCAGTGCTACTTTGTGGTGTCAAACACTACAGTTAAGCTCGATGCCTTATGAGAAACAAAATTCTACCTTTAGTAGAACTGCCTATGCCTTCTTTAGCTTCACCTTGGACACTTTCCAATGCAAATTGGAAAAAAATGATTCTGAGGTTACCTTCTTGTTGAACAACTATAGAAGTACCATTTGAGCTCTTTTGAGTTGCACATAACACATTTGTTTGGTTCTAAATAATCCTTATTCTTTTTTGGCAAAGTTGGTGCAGGAAACTAAAACAGATGGCAGTCTATCTTGTATCTAAAAATGTTTAGAATGTCTCACACTTCTTAATATCAAGCCAGCAATATTCCTTGTTTTCTAATTCTCTAAAATTTCTACCATTTTGTTTTTAACCAAATCACGGTAGCATTTGGTGTCAGCAATGAAGCTTTTATCAAAGGTTCTTCTGTGAAGCTTTAGGTAGTTTTCTCAGCATCTGGTTTTGTCTGTCCTCATGGAATATATTTTTCAGTGATAGTATGATATATATGTTTTTCAGACTAAAATAAAATTTGTTCTTTGGAGAAACTATTGTAGCTCAGTGTCCCTTTCCAGTCGAGCTGTAACCTCATGTTTTTCTCTGGCAAAGCTTAAATATTGCCTGTTTCAGACTTGCCTTTCTTGGCAAGTGCTACAGGAAAATAAATCCTATCTGTAAATAAGCCTGGTTTACACTGCTGGAAAATAATACAGAATTAAAATATTCTGAATGTTTTGCATTATCTTAAAACTTTTTACATAGCATTACCATTAAGGCAGATCTTACTCATTGGTTGTGAAAATACATTTGATTTAATTACAAACTTGGTTGCAAAAAGTCATTGTATACTTAGGACACGATTCAAAAGTAATTTTTGACTTCTTGAGAACTTAAGTAAGTCTTACACATCTTGCACCAGAAAAAAAGTGAAAGGGGGTTCTTTTGTATACTGAATGCTTGTATCCATGGACTACATTAGCAATTTATTTGGGATTGGTTTTTAAGCAAAGCACCAAAGCACAGGTCAGACAAATGCTGCTGTTGTAGTCTTCACAGCTAAGGTTTTATTCACAACTCTTTCAGCAGTGGAGCCATGGAAAAATCATGTGCTCTGTGCACCTGTGAAATGAGGTGGATGTTGCTGTGTATGAAATTAAATCCATTATTATTGATGTTAGCAGGTAAGCATATGGCCTAAGATAATAACCCACGTATCTTCTATATTTGCCAGGAGAATAAAGGTGATCTGAAGAGCATTTCCTTCCAGTTAAGGTAGAACATGGTGAATTGCTCTCTGGAAGTGCCTCTCTCTTTCTACTGGCAACAGAAGGAGCCTTAACATATAGTCAAGATGACTGCTTTCGGATCTGCTAAGGTCACTGGCAGGCATGAACTCAAAAGTTTGCAGCATTCACATGTTAAGAAAAGTAGATTAGTGGCACATCTGTATTTTGGGCAAGGCTCCAAGGGTTAGCCACTTGTGTTAAGGGTGCATCAAACAAAACAAGAAAAACAAGCAGTATAAATGATGTATGTGATGCTTTAGAGGTTTGTTTGTGTTTACTTGCAGAAAGACCAAGAAGTATAAACAATATTTGTAGAAATAAGAACTTGCATTTATTAAGTAAAAAGGCCACTTGACAGCTGCTATTTCCTAAATAACATAATACGTTAATTAGACAATACCAAAAGCATTTTTTTCCATTTTTTCTTTTAATAAAGGTCTTTGGAGATGAATGCTTCTGACTAATTTATAAAAAATAACAATTTTAAATAGAAGATAACCTTATTGGAAAAGATGAGATTATGATACTGTGGCTTTTCAAATAAGGTTGTGTGATTTATTTCACAGATGACATCCATCTGGATTCACTAGAGCCCTCCAGTGATATAAAATAAAAAGTCACCATTCCTTCCTGTCCATTTAAATAAAATTTTACTGAAAGTAAACTCCTTAGGGATTTAACTTAATTGCACAAATCAGGTATTTATCTCATTTTAAAGCACATTTACATCTTCTTGGAAGAAAGAGTAAATGATTTTATTTCTCACATCGGCCATTGGTCTCAGTGAGCGCAGCCTGTTCTGCTTGTATCTTTTTGTTCACACTAAAATGACAGACTTTGAAAGGACTTTTCAGAAATCTCAAGTAACTTCCTTGTAAGATGAGAATTGCATTCATATTTTTGAAGCAGCAATGCCCCTGCCCAGGAGTACTTCAGGGTGTACTTCTACTTCGTTAAAGCTTTGTACCCACCACTTACACTTTTCTCTTTCTTTCTGTTCAGAAAAAGAGCAAATACAGACTGAAAAGAATTTTGATAACTCTATGCATGGTTTTGTATGGGGTTGTAGGAGCAAAATGCACATGGAGAATTGATTTTCCTTAAGTTAACAGCACACTTCTAGGTATTTTTACACACACTTTACTCTGCTGAAAGGCTGTATCTGGACAAACAGAGTAACCTATAGTCTATGTCAAGGAGCACAACAATGTTCATCCAAACAGTGTCCTGCCAGCATCCTTTAACTCTGCTTTTATATTTCTTGGTCAGGAAGTGGGGTAGTGAGGGAGGGAAGTGCTTTTCCCTGTCCCACGTGGTGCTGCAGTTCTGTCAAAGCTCCTTGATAACAAGGGGGTGAGGGAGCCTGTGACACAGAAACTGACACAGAGATCCACCTTGCTCACTACACATAGAAGATGGCAATCTTCATTTAAAAGAAGACTTTTTTAACAGTTTTAACTTTTTTAACAGATCTGGCCTGAAGCACATAATTCCTGCGTATGGAAGTACCTGTAACATACTAGTAGTAACGTCTGAAACTTCTAGTTCACATAATATTCTGATGTATGTCTTCAGGACAAAGGGTGTATTTTTTTCAAAAACTAGTAGATGTCATTTAATTATCTTCTTTTTTTCTGTATATTATATAAGACTTTCCTTTTCTACAAGCACATAGAAATGTGCTTACATAGAAATGTGTGCATCTTTTATGGAAAGGGAGAAGACTCATTTTCCATAAGCACAAAGCTTATATCTCTGCTTATCTCTACTTGATCTCTGTCCCAGTTCACTGAAATCTCGAGTACAATAAAGTCTCCCAAATCATCTGAAAGACACCACTTGCATGAATTAGAACACCAGTAATCTACTTGCATACATTTCCCTACCTCTGAAGACATGGAGGTTTGAACCCCAAACCACAAATTCTTGCACAGACTTTTTTCAATTGAACCTGGTGTGTTAATATTTGTATCTGTGCCTAATATTTACAGTGTCAGGATTGTTACCTGTATATCACTCAAGGGATCCTTGAATGGCTCTAATAGAAAAGGTGGTACAGGAGGCAAGAGGAGGTATGAAGGGATTACCCTGCCAAGCTAAAGATCAGCCTCAATCTGTAGCTGGCAGCTAAGAAGAGTCTGTATTTGCAAGCTTGCTTGCTCAGGACATGAGCAGTGAGGACAGAAGAGATCAAAACTGACAGTGAGTTTGGGGAGAAAAATACAAAAGGGTTAAAGCAAGTTATTTGTACTGTCCTACTCTGAAAATTCCCCAAGCTCTCCGCTCTGTCTGCAAGACCATAAGGAAAAACTTCCCATACCAGCAAAATGAAATCACAGCGCTGTTTGATTTAAAGACTTTTTAGAGGAAAACGCTGGCTAAAATAAAAACAGCGGTAAGGAAAGGGAAACTTTGGAGTAACTAAAAATAAAGGCACACCACTTCACAAGATTGGTTATTGCATCTGTCCAGAGCTTGGAATTCCAGACACTGGGGTTGGGAGGTCACCCAAAGGTTACTTTTCTCCCAGTCAAGAACAAACACAGTGGAATTGCACACCAACGTCTTTTCCCAGCCCGCTTGAAGAGTTGCCAAAGCTGCTCTTGGATGTGTTCACAAGTGACGCAAAAATCTATTCTTAAACACAGACAGAATATACATCAGTCATAGCACAGAAGGAAACTATTAACATCAAAAGGGGTGGGGTAGAGAGGCTTTTTATATTACCAACTTCTCTCATAAATTTAACGCTAAGTGGAAAAATGTAATTGATTCGTATGTGTTCTTTATCTCACGTGGAAGGCTAATGCATTGCCTCGGTACAGCAGTGCTGCTCCAGAATAGTATAAATAAAATATAGCAGAAAACCAAAATCCAAAGCAAATGCCCTATTTTTTTTCCCGAACCACATTTATATAATTTTGATTTGTAATATATAAGCAAACTTCCTTTTTTAGAAATATTGAACTTTAACTGAAATTCCCAAATGCTCCAAATAACATGATAATATCTTAAATGCTTTACCATATTTAGTTTAAAATTACTATCATTATTAAAGTTAACTCTCACAAATAATTCTAGTGAAGGTATGAAGTGTACCCAAAAAGAACAAAACCACCGTGACTCAGATTGTTTTTATTTGTTTTATTTAGGGGAATTTGTGGGAATTTATGTTTTACTTCCTTAATGTCTGTCATGTGTTATTGCACATGTTGTACGTAGACAGTTTACTTTTAGTAAGTCCTTGCAGAACCTAATGTCCTTGCAGACCCTAACGTTTCCTTGAATGGCAAACAAAAAATTCAACCCAAGGCTTAATTAACTTGTTCCTTTGTACCTTTTAAATTTCATTTGATGCAGTTAAGGTTGTCCCTGAATGACTGTTCTCTTGAATTCTTAGGTAAACACATTAGGAGCAGCTGTAGAATTTTGCAAAAAGAAATGTTTAAAATGCCCCCATCATTTGACAACATGTGTAGACCCTGGAACATTGAGAAATCTGAAGAAGTACAAAATTTAGCATACCATATTTTCATGTGACGTGGAAAATGCACCACTCTGTGCAGTATCCCGTCTGCTTCTTATGTCCGTCCTGCTGTCCTCTCACAGCTGTCCTATCTGTGACACTCTAAGCTGTCTGAGCGTGCAGGGTACAGAATGATTGTCACACACTGAGATATTTAATAGGCTCCACAGTATCAGAAGTATGAAACTGGAGAGAAAGTACTAAGCCATTTCTTCTTCACCAGTTTGTCACCTTCGGTGGGACTGAAGCCATGGGTACATTAGAGAAATGGTAAGAAAACATAAAGTAAAAAGAAACATTTTAGTGACTTGACAGAACAAATTGATGTGTCCCTCACCTGTAACTGACCAGAACTTGGACATGTAAGCCATACTAGTCTAGTTCCTAGAGGTTATGCAGAAGTGAATGTGAGCCCTTGCATGTACTTAATCTCTCCAGTTCAATTTCTCTATGAACTTTGAAATGAATGAGGAAAATTCAGCTTATGTTTTCCAACAAAATCTAGATCACCTTTTCAAAATGTCCTAAGTTGCTGGAGTTGCAAAAGTGCTTCAGATAGAATTGTTGTAGTCTCTTAAATGAGCTTGAGATGTACCCGGATCTGCTTTTCATTTACAGAGCAATGTTGTATTGTTACTGGATACAAGCAATGGTGCCCTTCGCCACCTTTTGCTCTTACCAGATGCTCAAGAGTCTCCTAAAAGAACATCATGGTGGCGCAACAAAGAAGAGATGGTGAGGAGTCGCACCTGCCTCTATTATACTAAGTTTTTTTAAAAGCAAAGCTCAGTATTGAAAAACTGTCCCAGGATCATTAAGCTTTTCTGTTATTACAGCCCAAGCATTTAATTGTTTACTCTTCTGTGTATTTAAATGTCTCACACAGCAAACAGTTATTAATTTTTATGGAATAGTGATATGAAAAATATAAATAAATTGTCTGAAGACATGTATCTTTAAAATATCCCTCTTTGGAGCTAGAACTGGAAATAATGGAACATTTTGTTACAAGGAATTCTGTCCAAAATAATGAACTCAGTTATTATGCAATTATATGACTAGGAGCAAGGCAGGCTAGATAGCATTTTGATAGGTAATTAATGCCATGGATTCTTCTAAATAAAGGGAAAAAAATAGTACACTTTCAGGGGAGTCAGGGAAACTCACTGGGGCGATCTAACACTAATTGCTCTATGACATATTTTTATACAGAGCAACTACAAAATGTGCCGAGAGTTTTCACACAAAAACTGGCTGGTGTTCTACAAAGAAGCAGGGTAAGAATAAATTTTATCCTTGTATTATATTGATTTATAACATATTTCCTTGTGTATATCCTTATCTGATTGTTCTTCTCTTGGCTTCCAATTTTACAGAAACCACCTTATTGTGCTGGATGTATTGGAGGGTCAAACTCATACCATCTCCCTTCCAATCAGTCTGAAATCTGTTTTCCTGGCAGCTGAAGACCGCTGGCTCTTGGTGGAAAATGAAACAAATAAGTTAGTTCAGCCTGGTTTTCTTAGTGGCATTATTTCTTGTTTGTGTCTTGTTTATGTTCAGGAGTTTCACTCCTGATCGCAGAGTTGTTTTTTTCAGACTGACTGGACTTAAAATTTGGTGTTCAAAATGCAGATTTGCTTGTGGTGAAAGTGCAGGTAGGCTTATAGAATAGGAAATGAACAGGATATGCCTGCCTCTGAAAGTCTAGACTAGCTTTGATTGTATGCATATTCATACTGATTTTACTGAGGTGGTATTGAACTTCTGAAATAACAATGTTCATGGACCTAGTCTTGGAAATACAGACACTTTTTCCAGAGTTGGCACCTACTTCCTTTACTTTCATGATCACATGGAAGAAATGTTACTGCACTATCTTGTTTTTGTAAATGAACAGCAAATGAAAATGTGTAAATAGTTGCCAGAAGACAAATCTGCCAATAGCTGGCTTACCCTTTCCTATCTCACAGATGTTGGTAAATTGTATTTAGTTTTAGCAAAAGGCGTTGATAACCTTGTTTATATAAATGCAGAGTGTTTTCCCTGTTTCGGAAGATAAAAGTCCTTGTTTAGAGTTACAGGCTTAATCAGGAATTATTATAAATGTGTATCCTTTACAGGAAATTTCTTTTAACCAAGCGTGCCCATATGGAAGCTCAAGACAGTGAGGTTTGCCAGCTGTATGCATTGAGTGAAGAACCAGCTGAAATGGGATTTGGCTTAACAACAGGTATTGAATGCAAGCTTGGCTAGTTCCTTCTTTTTTTTTTATCATTTCTGTTTGCAGCTGCACAAACAAGGCTTTTTAAAGGTCTGAGTAATTAACCTTCTCTCCGATTCTCTTTTTGTCCTCCCCTTACCATGTTTGCTTAATAATAACTTTTCACAAGGCATGGCACATCCCATGCCCAAAGCATCTTTGTTTCATTTAAGCATTTAAGACCCTCAGTCATGGACTTTCAGGAAACAGACAAGCATATAGAATAGAAAAGGAAGAAAGATGACTAGACAGCAATTAGAACAGGAATACAAGGGAACAAATCAGGTTGTACGCTGTTGCAGATCTGCTGCACACAGTCAGATGAGCTAACAAACATCTCCCAGCCTCAGAAAACTACAAAAGACCTACTGTTAAAACAGAACAGAAGTCACAGTTTGTGTAGTTCTGTCAATAGTGTGCAGGGGGCCATTGAGGCCATCACACCTGTGTTGAAAGATAGGGGGAATTTGGTCATTAAAATTCCCAGATGATGCTAGGCATTGAGATGTCTTAATTACAGAATAAGGCAGAAATCTCCAATGGTCATGATTCGGACGGGTAAGATCTGTCTATCTTCAGATCTAATAGCATATTCAACCCCGAGCATTTGATCGTGGTGCACAAAATCTTTAGTGTACTTGGTACACGTGCATCCCACCTAACAGTTTATAGGTTTTGGCCACTGTGTCTCAGAGAGGCAGAGGAAACAAATAGAGAAACTGCTTTATATCCGTTGAAAAGGGAAAAGGTTTTGTTCTGGTTCTTGTGGCTAGCATAAGTATGAAAGATGAGATTAACACAGTGTAAATGTGATACAAGCAAGTGTTATTGCCAAATAACAAATAGGGCTAATTTTACATAAACAGCAACAAAGTGGATACCAAAAACTAACCACAGCCTAAATATCTAGAATCCATTTTATATCTTGTAAGTTTACTCTACCAACTTATCAAGCGCCATCAGAGCACAGTAGTTTCCTTCCTCTACCTACCTTATTTAGAAAACATTCTAGAGTATCATTCCTCAGATGGATAGAAACATCGTTATAATTTCCAGTCTCAAAGTATTTGTGGACAGTTTTTTACTGCGTGCTTTCTGTGCTGTTTTAATCCTTTGTTATCTGATTTCTTCTCTTCCAATCCAAAAAGTTATCATATCCCCTCTCCACTTTTTTCCAAAACATTCAGCAAACCCTGAATGTAGCATCTTCAGCCTGTTCTTGTTCTTTGAGACAGAACCTGTGACAGGAGAACCAGTAGCCCATTTATCCTTTGAGGGAGAAAAGACTTTCTCCCACTGCCAGGTGAACGAGATAGTCTGCCCATTGAAGTGGAAACAGTGTATGCTGCAGCACTATAGATAGCACGTTCTGTCTGTGTTGATAACTTGAGGCAAGGTAAAAGGCTCTTACAGTTGCACAGTAAAATTTAGTTTTCCTTAGCTTAAAGACGAAGAAAACTAGACCAGTATTTAACATAAATACATTACAAATGCATTACAAATATTATTAAAATTTCAAAGATAGCAAGACAGTCACTGAGAAATGTCACATTGACACTTACCTGTGCAAACCTACATTTTGCCTTTTGGTACCTTTGCATTATAACAATTTTCAGTGAGATCACATGCTGTTTTATTCTATAGGCTTCCTGCCTCATTTGCACAGTAGAGGGCAAAATTAAGTCGTATAAGCATCTACAAAGCTAGTAATTAGTGATTTTGAGTACTTAACTTTACAAAACTAAGATTATTTCCTGGCTTCTTTTGTGTGGTATAGTATAGTATAATCAGATCTACTTTTTAGTAATTTTATGCTCAAAGTAATAGCAATGTTCAGTGCTCAGCACTCTTACAGTTAATATTGTTTCCTGTTGCACATCTGGATTTAATTACTTTCATTTTGTTTAATTTCCCTGTTTAGCGTCAGAACTATGTGTGCCACATGCAGTTTCAAGTGACCAGCTATCTTCAGAAAACCTCAGCGCAGCTGTGGGACAAAAGATCAGCTCCCCCAACAGGATCTTCTCGGATGAACAGAATTACGCTACTATTGTTATTGGTTTCCCAGACCTCTTGGTAAATACTGGGCATTATTATTAAGTGAAGTAATATGATCTCACTTATTCTGTAACCAGTTAAGTACCTGTTTACCAAATGATATGGAAAAGAAGGGAATGACAAATTCATGTAGTGTACACCATTTGTTAGAGTAGTCTAATCTAGAGGGATTTCAATGGAGTTTTAAATAATAAGAAATTGGACAACATAATGTCTAGCATAAAATTCATCTAGCAACAAATTCGTTGTTGGTGAGCTCTGAACAGTGCTGGCTAGAGGAATATTTTCTAAATCATGTGTTTTTACATGTTTTTAATTAAACGTAACAACTGCGAAAAAGGATATCGGTATAATTTTGAACTATTCATTTTGAACTTTTTTCTCAGTGTGCAGCAGGTAAAGACTAGATTTAAGAAAAAGAAAAAAGGTATAGAAAATGGTAGCAAAACCACACAGCCCCTTCAGTATTCAATAATGTAGTTGAGTGTAAATGCTGCATGTAGGTGCGGTCACTGCTGTGACACAATTAGAAAAGGACCAGAAAGGAAAGTGAAACTTGGCAGTGTAGTGACTAGGGTTGTTGCAAGGAGTGGAGGTAAACACAAGGAAAATAAAAGCAGTATGTTTAACTCTTTGAACTTTTTTTCCTAATTGCCACCTAATGATATGTAAAAAAAGTAGTGCTTATGGAATAAATAATTGTAAGTCACGTTTGCTTAATAAATTGGGGCAAATTAGAAAATATAAGTGTTAACATACATGAATTTTGGGAAAGCCAAATGACAAAAGAAAATTTGAAATCCAAAAGGATTCAAAAATATGTTTTTGACAATAAGGCATTCCCTGTATTTGCAACTCGCTTTTGAGTTTTCCTTGATCTAGATTTATATGACCAGATTGATTATTCTAGCTATTCATGTAGCTATTCTAGCTACAATAGGTGTGAGTTTATTGCTGGAAAAGGGAGGTGGTTTAGAGGAGGGAGTACTAAAGGTGCTACACTCTTCAATACTAACACACCAATACTGATAATGAAGCATCTTGCTCTGCCAGATTTAGAATGAGGCCCCATCTTTCCTCATGCATGATTTTATATGTCCATGTGAGTGTTGAGTGCTAAGAGTAACTGTAAGGGTGATGGGGCAAAACTTCAGATTCAGTGTTTAGTGTTAATGGTGTAGATGTTTAATATGAGCAAGGTATCTGAGCTCTTATTTGTAGTAGCAGTGCTCAGTTTACTAAACACTGAGGCCTTCAAGATGATTTTTTTCTCTAGGCTCTTTTAACCATAGTGGGAGATGAAGGAACTGGCTTTCATGTGAACAACTATATTTACATTTCTGAATCTGGAGTTTTATTGCCTTGCTTTGAATTTACTACTGAAATATCTATTTGCACTTATCTACACTAGTGGAAACTTAGATTATGGTAACAGTTTGTTACATAGTTTGATTCCAGATTAGGTTATTTCACTGCTTTCTGTTCCTGGTTCAATATGAAAAAAAGATGTTGGTTCAACTTCAGATCTTCAGAAATTCTTAATGCCTAAAACTCGTGTATATGATTTGTTGGTTTTCATTCCTATAGGAGTTTTTGATGACAAAATAATCCAGGCCTCTTCCTTGTCATGTGGTAAAATAAGAAGTAACCACAGTAGCCACATTTGATTTGAAATTAAGTAAAGAGTGGAATTTATAAAGAAACGTTTGTTGCTAGGCTCAATAATGGTAACGTTTTCTTCACTAGACTCCTTCTCTCTCGCAGTCTCCCAGTGAAGTGTATAGCTGGAAAAGAAACTCCTCTCTGAGTCAAAAATGTACTTCTCCTTCTGATCCATTTTATTATGGAACCCAGAGGAAAACAGGAGCTGCAAAACAAACCAATTGTGTAACTTTATTGGCTTCTAATCAAATAGTCAGAATTTTAGCACCTGGAGACGTGCCTTTGAAAGACATTTACCCAAAAGGTAAGAGGTTCATGTACTTGTGCTGCAACACACTTGTTTTTTGTTTTGCAAACTGCAATCACTCATCAATTTTTCCAAAACGTTCTTAAATAATCACAGAGCAAATGTTTGAGAAGGATGAGAGTAGTTGCACTTATTTTTAAAATTATTTTGAATCATATTAACATGCCGTATTATGTTTCTGGGAACTAACAGGCTGTCTACACTATGAATATCCCGGTAGATGGGATCTTCCTCTGTCTACTCTGGAAACCCACTATAAGAATATGATCATTCCAGTTCAGCAATCAGCCTTCACCAGTATTTCCAAGTTCTGCTCAGTGTCATGCAGAGATGCATTGATAAACCTGTTTTCTGACTAACTCGGTATTCTATCCCCAGCAGAACTATAGGAGAGGTTATTTTGGGAATGCATGTGAGCCTGTCCACTTCTTTGTCTTTCCTTTCATACTTTCTCAATAGTTGCAGATGTTTTCCTAGGGAAGTTAAAGCCTCAGGCTTTAAATCTCCTTCTATGGACCTGTTGTCCACAAGTTTGTCTGGTCCCTCTTTGAACTTGTTTGTCTCCACAGCAAACTCACAAGTTCACAATTTTCTGTGATAACTGATCTCCTACTAGGTTTATCAAGTGCCCCTTATTCTAGTATTGCAGGTTTGAGTGAGTAACAGTTCGGCATTCACCTTAACCATCACCTTCATGACTGTGCCAGCTTCACTCACACCTGCCTTCTCTCCAAACTGAAGAGATCCAAGCTTTTTAGTTCTTCTCTTGTCCAGGAGAATGTTGCGTGAACAGCATTCACATACAGCAAAACTGTCCTCCATTTATACACTAACAAAGCAGGTGTAGACTAGAGATCTTCAGACCATTTTGTGCTGCCATGCCCAGCTTTCTGTTATTACTGTAACTTTAGCTTCTTCAGCAAATAACTAAAAATATCCCAGTTATGGCTATATAACAGCATTTGTGAGTTCTGTGTTAATTACCTCTAGGAATCTCCAAAGAAAGTTTACTATCAAAAGAGAAAACCCCCAAAGTATTTGTATATGGTAGAATGGCAGGGTTTTTTTGAATTCATCAGCATGAGAAGCTATTTGAGATTTATTCTCTGTGTGACCTCTCTGTCCCAGAATAAACACTTTATTCCAAATTAACTCCCTTGAACAGAATGAATTATCTAATATGCCCGCCCTCATTTAGCACATATTAACTTCCCTGTGTAGAGAAATCCTTTTATTTATTACTAAGAGCCAAGCCAAGGATATCAACAAGGTAGAAAACTTAAGTTACCTACATTTACAAAGGAAAGATTACCTTTTAAAAAGATTAAACTTAATAAAATTAATTAATGTTTGCATCTTCGAACCAATTATACCACTTCAGGCTGTAATCTTCTCATACTTTATAAACTACTGAAGGGTCAGACTGGGTCACTTTTTTTCAGGCCTTCACAGAAAAAAAGGGGATCTGATTCTGAAGTAGATGGTTTAAAAATTCAGACAATAAATCTCCTGAGTTTTTGTTAAAATTAATTTATTAATTTGGGAGTGAGAGAGGGATACAGTGTTTCCAAATGATAGCTGAAATTGACAGGTATTTCTAAAAGCCTTTTAAATTGCTGTGGTATGTGACATTTTAACATGCTAGATTACTATAGTTAAAAACCAGGGGACATTCTTTGTGAATCCCCGATAACAGTGACCTGAGCATTTTATCAGTCTGAAAATTGACTTCCATCTGACCAAACAGTTTAATTTTTTTTTTCTCAACTATGATGAAATATATTCATGAACAGTGATTGATAGCTTTAAATGCGTAGAAAATTTTATGAGGTTTGTACAGTGCTTTATGGCCATTTAAGTTGAAAAATTTCAAGCCTTGAAGATCATTATAATTGAATTTTCTTTTCTAATTTTTCTTTTCTAAATGAGGTTTTAATTTATTAATTACAAAAATTGATCTTAACCAAATCATGTTTAATATGACCTTACTGATACAATTAAATGGGACTTGAGCAAGACTCTAGGTTTTCTATTCCATAGCCATTTTTCGGGACTTTTTCAGGACATTTCCATTTATCAGTTAATGACCAGTTTTTCTAGTGAAGGAGGAGCTATGAGGGAAATCCTAGAGAGACCTGTGCTACTGAGCATGTCATAAATTAATTAACACTGAAGTGAAGGTGCTGATGTTACTGGTTATTATTCATGGCAGGAAGGATTCACCATGAAGGATTATAGAAGGACTACAATTCTCACTGCAATAGAAATAGCAGATGAAATTCAGTAGAGATATAATATACATGAGGGAAGAAAGAATCCTAATTCTGTATCAAAGAAGATGAGGCTCATCAGAACATCTTACAAGCATTGTTTTGCTGTCACGATAAACAGTTTCATTAAGATAGCAGTTCAAAGCTCAATAGCAGTTAAAAAAAGCAAATCAAATGTTAAGAATTACTAGGGAAGGAACAGAAAAAAACAAAGAACCTCTTTGTGCTGTTGTGCAAATCCACGTGTCCTTAACACGGTTTAGTTTTGTTCTTCCATCTCAAGGTGCGAGAAGGCTGAACTGGAGTAAGTTCAGAAAAAGACAACAAGGAGGAGCAAGTTTAGATCGGCCAACCCTCCAGCATGTGGAGACAAGATCAGGAAAGGCGCATATGGTAGAGTTCTATGAAAACGTGTGGCATGGAGATCTGGGAAAAGCAACATTTTGCACTCAGTACCACAGTTAGGGAGCAGCTAATGAAGCTAGTAGGAACTTCGTCAAAACAAACAAGACATGGTTTTTCATAGAGTAAGGAACCAGCCGGTGAAACCACTTCCCAAAGGATGTTGTGACTGCTGAAACATGGATTTAAAGGAAATCTGGACAAACTCCTGGAAAGTTACTAAGTATGTAGATGTAAAAACATAGACACCACATTCAGCTAAAGAAGCCCCTAGATTGGAACTGGTTGGTGACTGCGGAAAATACCATGTGCACTTGTCTGTTCTTACACTTTCCAAGCATCTCTTGGAGACAAAATGCTAGATTCGAGGGACCTTGTACTGCCATTGTTGTGGCATGAGTCATAAGTATTTCTGAGTGTAAAAAAGGGAAGACAGAAGAAAAGAGGCATGCATTTATATGCTCACTTGGAAGGTGAGATAATAAAGTACTAGTCCTTACAGTGCTCATTTGAGATTTGTGTTTACAACCTTCTCTGCTGGGCTATTGTTTCTTCTGTAGTTTGCCTCTCAGTCTCACTAACTGACAGAATATTTAATTGAATACTCATTTAACTGCTACCCATAGCTGCTTAACAGTCTTGGTCCCTTAAAATTCAGTGTTGCTTTTTCCTGATTGTGCTGCATAATTCATGGGGGCTTTTGGACGTTTGGTGAGTTATCGGTGCTGTCGTTTCTGCATTGGAAAACCTGTAGTTAATTAACTAGGAAAGTTCTATGAGACTTCATTCATAAGTCTTTGTATCCTTCCCTGGAAAATGGTATAGTGAAGGAAAGGCATCCTTCTATGTAAAATCGAGTATGTCTCAGTCCCCTGAAATTCTTGCACTGTTGTCTTCTGTTGCCTTTGAGAAGTTGCTTTATATTTTTGCTTTTGTTTCCATATCTATCAGGATTTCATTCTCATCTTCTTGGACAGCTGGTCAGTTCTGGCACACAGCCTTCCATTTCTATTAATAATTTGAAGTACTCAGCCAAACTCTAACATGCTCCAGTATGTATTACTGAAGCTGTTCCGGGACAATAAGCAAAGAAATAATTGCCTATGTGTTTTATTGAAACTGTAAACCAGAATGATAGTTATATTTTAAAAGAAACTATAACAAGTAATAATTTCCCCAAAGACTGCCAAATAGATGCATGGACCTGAAATATAAGCTCAGACAAAAGATCATGGCAGAATAGCAAATAATAATTGATGTTTATTCTAAAAACAAGGCCATAGAGATGAGGGCTACTTGAGAGCAAATATGTACTTGGATTCTCAGCGCTTTCTATAGATGAACATAAAATAACATTCTATTACTGAGTGCCTGTCTCTGTTAGTGTGACACTAACTGGAACAACATGTAGTGTAACACATGTTACTGGAATAACCTTGGCACATCATCTGGTCTACCTGTTTGTATAGGGACAGAATGACACCTGTAGTCTCTTTTTAACTGATGCTTGTCAAACAATTGACCTATTGCAATGCTTCACTCTCCTTGTATACAAAATCTTTTCAGATTATCCATCTTTTTTTTCTCTAAACAAAACTGAATACTTGATGTCACTTTCATTCATTCAGGATAATACTGCTGTCTTTGTAAGAATCTTCTCAATAGGATTGGATGTGCTTTTTTAAAAAGTCTCCAGTCAGACAAAAAAAATTCCTTAAATTTGTCCTTATAGCCCATCTCTTCTGACCTCTTTGTCATCCCCAGGACTATCATGTCACAGAATCACAGCATGGATAAGATTACCAGGGACCACTGAAGGTCATCTAGTCCAACCTCTCTGATCAAGCAGGGTCCCCTAGAGTACGTTACTCAGGATTGTGTCTGGACAGTTCTTTCCCAGGGAAGGAGACTCTAAAAGTTCTCTGGCCATCCAGTTCCAGTTCTCAGTCACCCTCACAGTAAAGAAGTTCTTCCTCAGCCTTTCCTCATAAGAGAGGTGCTCCAGTCCTGTAATCATCTTCATAGACCTCCACTGGACTTGCTCAAGGACCTCCATGTCTCCCTTGTACTGAGTAGCCCTTGACTGAACATTGTGTCTGTTTTCCTTAAAATTTGATGTCTAGAGTTGTGCATAGCTATTCTTCTCCATCAGGCTTTGGCAAAAGATGAACAAACTGTACTCGTTCAGCTCTGATGTTCATGCTTCATCGTAAAATTCGTGACTGCAGTTTTGGGCCCTACTCAGCTGTTCCTGTGTAGCATTTAAACATTTGATTGCTCCCTGCTCTGTAATGCTTTGTCTTTTTGTAATTTAATTTGTTTGATTTGTGTTCTTTCTCTAATTTATTAACTTAATTTTTGTCCCTTAGCATTTATCCCACAGTGCTACCCTTTCCAATTCAGTATCAACCCTTGTTCTAGATCTTCATCAGAATTTTTATTCTATATATTATGTATATTATTCTCAGTTACTAACAAAAGAGAAAGCACATTTTAGAAGAGTAACAAAATCTAGGGAAAACATTTTTCTAGACTTTTTCTTCCTATTTCTGATGTGTTTGATATTTCCATTTTTATGAAGATGAATAAAGTCAACAGATGTGCTACTGTAGGTATGTATACTATAGATATCTAGATACAGTAGATATGCATAAAGTGGTGGTGTGGGTTACTCTGTATACTCATTGGATATTAGATCCCCTTATACTGCTGATCTTCTGTGTGTGCTGTAGGCAAGCTCAACACTTCTGCAGCCAGACTCTCCTTGGTTTCAAGGAGGTTAAAGATACATTGTTTCTGAAGGAAATCTAGACTTGCTTTCATCTTGTGACAATGACATTTTGTACCAATACTGTGCTGTAATTCTGTCTTCTGGTTTATTTTCTGAAAAACTGCCTTGATTTACTCCAGGCAGTTCCTAACTGGAAGCCACGTCTGAGCCCAGGCAAAGTGTACTCAAATGTTGGCAAAAGCTAATGTAGGCACGCACCCAAAAATTTATTTCTGAGGGAAGTACCATATATTAGCTGTATTCATTAAACTGTCCATTAACAGAATATTAAATGCTTGATAGTCTAGGGCTATTTACTATAAAGTTATAAAATCTTTGGATACTGAAAACCTACCTCCAAAAGGAGTGGTTCAATTTAAGAGAACAGCGTTTAGGTTAATATTACTGAGAAATTTTAAAGTGGAAATCATGAACACAATGTTTTGAAATGTTCCTTAGTATGCTTCTAAAGTCAGATATAAAACTGACATTATCTTCAGTGACAGATAAAAACAGTGAGTTAGGGATTGTTGGTAACGTGTGATTAGTGCTTTTGTGAGCGGTTATATTTGTGTGTAATTTTGACATTTGCTATACAAATACATTGTTATTTGTTAACTGTGACTGTTTACTCACTATCATAATAATAAAACAATTCCCTATTTGCAAGTTATATTCCTGTATTGAATGTGAAACCTTGTCATTTTCTGACAGGTAATGTATAATGAAATGTTTAAATTTAATCTGCTAAATGCAAATGCAATAACCAGTTAATCATGCAGCAGGAAAATAACGTTTGGTTTTTTTCAGATGTCACTCCTCCACAAGCTGCTGGATACTTGGAAGTAACAGATCTTAACTCAAAGAAAATCAAATACATTGCAATTCCTAGGTAACTGATTTTATTGATTAGAGCAACCTCTGTCGTAGAGGAAAAGCAAAGAGAATTTAGTGTACATTATTACATCAGGATAAGCAAATATTTCTTCTGATGTGGAAAGTAAGACTAATTCATACCTTGTGTGAAATTCTGCAAACACTGAAGCAATTTTTGTCAACATAATTTATCTGTTTACTAGGTGATACCAATGAAAATATAGCCATTAATTAGTAAATATGAAAAGTACCTTTATATTCTGATTTTCATCCCCTTTGCTCCTTCCTCCTCTTCCATCCACTTTGTTCTCTACCCTGTTATATTCTGGTTTGCTGCCTTTATTTTCTTTTCCTTTTTCCCTGTCTTTAGCATCTGACAAAGACAGGAAGAATGATCTGGTGGTAGGTGTTAGGAAACTAGGAATCAAGTTCAGGTCCAATATAAAGTTCTCTTTGAAAATAACTTGAGCTTCTCTACATTTTGGTTCTCCATTTGGAAAGTATACATTCCCTCACAAGTATCTTGTGTGATATACAAATATCTTGTATGATAAATCAAAATAACCAGACTGTGTGTCTTCTGTTTGGTTTTAACATGTCTCTCACAACTGTAGAGAGTATTTGCACATGTTTTATAATATAAAGATATATTTTGGTTACAAATTGTCATTTTCCATTGCAATAATAATAAAGGTAATTTTTTTAAATGGCAGTCTCTCAGCTTTGCATATTTAAATAGCCCATGTATTAAACTCACACATCAGGAATTTTATACTTTTTTTTAATCTATCCATTTGATGTTGATTTTTGACAATATTGATTCTGATTTAAAGTAATTCTGGTTCATTAATAATCTGGGGAACATTTTAAATAATAGATCCTTATTTTTGGACTGTTCACCATTTTATAATTGGCCCATTGGCTTACACCTGTGACAGTTACTCAAAAATATGAGACCTTAATATAAAAATAGTAGGGAATCACATTATTTTACACCAGGATTTTATAAGAAATTACAGAATTTACAAAGCCATATTTCAACATCATGACCATTAACCTAGCATTAGGATTTAAGCTATATATGGCAGATCTGAGCAGAAGTCCAAGTTTAAAAATATATTCCAGTAGGAACTGATAAGTAAAGTGAGTTTTCATATATATATATATGAATAATTCTGTGTTAAAATATAACAGCCTTTTCTCCTTCTGGCATAGTTAGCCTGGTCAAATGCTAAGATAACTTTTTTCAGTTGAGTCAGTACATGACAATTTCAGTCATAGGTAGAGGCATATGCGTTGCTCCTTTTCATATTTTTGAAAATTATTAATTGTAGTGTTAGTGTAGGTTGGCAACTCATTATGCCTATCACTAACAGTACTGAAAAATGTACAGAGTCTTTCCTACATTATCTGAATTTCCCTTCAGATTATGTACCTATTAGGCCCTCTGTTTCAGCAGTAAACTTTTGTCAGCAAGGTGACTGTTTAAAACAGTGGTAAGATTCTCTGTGCATAAAGCTGTACCATCGTTAAATAAGTGTTTAAATCTTCATTTTATATTAAATCACTAGAGAAAGGTATAACTCTAATTTGCTGGAAATGCATTTTCCTCAGTGCCAGGTCATGTCTTCTCCTGTTTCTTTTGTAGTTTTATATACATTTGTAGTTTTTCTATAACATCTTTTTAGAATTTTTATAGTTTTTTTCTAAAGACTGTCTATTTTCAGAGAGATTCGATACAGCAGTGGGTTAGGCAACATATTCCCTTTCAGCCTGGTCTTTTAAACTGCTTCTTACACTGTCAAGTATCTTTTGGTTATATCCAGTTTGAGTAGGTGAAATGTTTCAGATAAAACAGTGGGTCTGTAGGGCTTAGTTGTAGTCTCTTCAGGCTTAGTTGTAGTCTCTCATGACATGAGGATGGAATTTCATTTAATTGTCATCTTAACTACATAAATACTCATTCCCCTTTTAATTGAAACTTCAGGAAAAATCATATTAATTCTTGTTTTTCAGATCACAGTCTCTCTCTCCATATACATCATGGCTCTCTAAGATCTCAGATGCCGATGCCCTTTTGGCACCACTGGGCAAAGTAGGTTTGGTTACTGTGGACATGGGAGGAGGTGTGAGACTTTGGGAGACTGGGCTGGAAAGCCTCCAGCGGTCACTGCAGGACTGGAGGAACATGATTGGCCAAGAAGATGGTCGTCCTGTGCAGGTAGGAGTTCATAAAGCTGAAGTGAAATACATTTAACAAAATGAGTTGTGAGTTTTCAGGAGGGAAAGGTATGTTGGAAAACACTGTGAAGTTGAAATACACCTGTGAGAAAAGCTGAATAGACTTGTTCACTGAAAAAAAGAGGCGTAGTAGCTTAAATTTGAAAACTTTTTGTGACCCCTGTAATTATGGTTACTGACAGACTGTCTTACACTGTTTGTATTTTTGCCAAATTCCACTGCAATTAAATGCAAATCAATTCTTTATCTCCTGCTGATTTTTAACTGTAATTTTCATAATGTAGAATAATGAAATTAATTTTTAAGCAAAGGATATACTTTTACAGCATTCAAATGCTTGGAAAAAAATATTGTGGTTTTACTTTGAAAAAGAAACTTGAAACCTAGATGAAAGATGCCTTGAGTTCACTAGCCTTTGGCTGGTTTTGATAATTCTCCCAGCAGAAGACTTGCAAGGATCTTCACACAGTTGTGTTCCCATGTGGAATGTTTAAGGAGATGCTGAACACACACCGTGTATACATGTATTCTGTGTATTTATGTATACACAAGTGTTAATGTACTGGCTACTATGTATGATTGCAACATAGAGGGAAAATTCAGGACTGTTTAATTGGATCTTTAATTTCTGTTAGTGCCTGGAGAAAGTATCACTTTACTTCAAACAACTAGAGTGTGCTTTAGGAGGACTTCTCCACTTCAACTAGGAGGATCCTGTCTGCCACAACTAGGAGGATCTCTGTCTACCACTGCAATTATTTCTGTTTCATGAATTTCTGTAACCACTCTCACAGTAAATTAGAATGGGAAAACAGAATCAGTCTGTTCTAAATTAGATCTCTCTCAGTCTTTGTTTACATGGCGTCTCAAGTGTGAATGAGATGTATTAGGCCAAAATCATCATCTTTCACTTTCTTTTCCCACTCTTAGCTCTCTTTCTACAAGACATTCTGCAGTTACAGAGACTTGGGCAAGAACTGATGTGTTCTTGTTACTGGACCTCAGCAAATGCCATTCATAAAATTAATGAGAAAAGGAAACTGTTTCCCTGTTTGAACGTTTGTGCTTGACACTTGGTCACTTTACCAGTGCCATTTTTATTGCCAGTGCAGTAGCACTAGCACCATCTTATGGCCAGATATAGTCGGTTTACACCAGCCCAGTTTCATCGGATGATCAAGTTGACTAATGGAAATTAAAAGAGCCAGCGGGAAGAGTTGGAGTTTTATTTGTTTTAACAGTTGTTTTTCCTTCTTTTTTGTTTTTTTTTGGGGGGGAGGGTGTTATTTTTTTTTATAACTTTACATTTCATTGAACTATATTACTTTACTTTCAAAAATAGTCAACTAATTTTTAGAGAATACTGGCTTGGAAAGTACATGTAATCAAAAAATTTAAGTCATTTAACTAGTAATGTCAAGTAACCATTTTAAAGAAGGCTAAGAAGTTTTCCCATGGTCACAAAGCAGTTTTCAAGATCCGCTGTAGAATTTCTCTCCACTGACAGCCTGCCTCTCTACTAGGCACATTCCAGGGTGAAGTCTCCTTTAAGTATCTTTCTTCTTTCCTCTGTCAACACAGGGTACATAGCTCAAAGCAGTGGTTTGTCAGAACTGGAATAGCAGTTTGATTTGTGCTAAAGGGCTGGAACAAAGCCTCCTATGTGATCTTCAAACCTGTGTAATTATAACTAACTTCTGTTTCTCTACTTTTTTACTTTGCTTCAAATGGAAAGATAATGAGACCTAAGAAACTTTGTTTACAAAGGCATTACAGAGCAATAAACAGAAAATTAGGTCTTTTATTTTATGTCATCTCCAATAAGATAATAGATATGTAGTTGCTAATTGGATATGAAGGCCTTCACCTTTCCTACTTAATTTTTCAATGGACCTAGACATAAAAGCAATACTTCATTAAGGCATTCATTTCTGGAAATGAAAAGATCCCGTTAGCTTGAAAACATATTCTTGTAGATTCCCTGTGCAATTAAGCAATTAAGAACTTCAGTGTCTCCTGTTCTAGAGACAATTACTTTGCTAAGAATGCTGCAGCTAAATATTTCTTGATACCTGTTTTTTACAAAATTGTACATACTTTGCAGCCATGTATTGATCTGTTCATTCCAATGTATGAAAATCACCTTCTTTTTTGTAATGTTTCATGTGTTAAGTAACTTGGAGTCTAATGAGGCATCTCTAATTCCTTGACTAAACCTATAATTCCCAATCATCTTGTAGCAGAAATTCACTTAAGGAAATTGTCAGTGTTCCACATATTACCCATCCACCCCCAAAAAACTGTCATTGTTGCATATCACAAAGCTGCTACAGGCTTAGCTAAGCTTATTATTCCTTCATGGTGATATTCTTAGACCAACACGAGACCTGTCTAGGTGGTTGGGAACCACTGTTTTGCAGAAACACACAGAATCTCTTTGAATCCTCCTGACTTTTTAGAGAAAAACGAATTAGAGGGCTTTCAATATAAATATCGTTTCAAAGAATTAGAAACAAATCTTCAACTAGGCTTCAGTTGGAACTATTGGTACTCTCTTCTAGAGATGCCTTTTGGCTTTCACAGACACATTAGCTCTCAGAAACAGGCTGGATATACATAAGCAATGAAACAGAACAACAAACAGCTGTTCCACTTATAATCAGTAATTAGGCTCCCTTGGTATAATGTCGTGGCAATCTTCAAAACAGTCAACATTTGTTTTGTATTGTTGACATATTCAACAGAGTTCAAGCTGCTGAAGTCTTGAGGCTACAAAGTTAATTTATCAAAATATGGTATGTGTTTACATAAGTCTGCATTTATACAGTCAGGTCAGAAATTTTCGTCATTTATGGAAGTTTTAAACTCAAAATAACACTACAGTATTCTGAAATGATTGGAGTGAATTGGAGTGCCTAAAATCCAAAATCTAAACAAAATTCTGTATTTTCTAAAGCTATGAACTCCAACCCAAAAATTGTTTAGCTTTTTCACTGTTTGATGTCCCTGAGAACAGAGTTTCTTCATTATCAAATATCCGAAAAGAATTTGAAAGACAATTTCTTTTAAAAATCTTGCCCTAAAAGTTTCATATCAATAGGGAGACATTGGTAAGTTTGTGTTACTTTGTTTCATCAAAGGGTTATTGATAGAAATTAAATCGAAAAACACTGATTACATTCTGACATAGCTGGGATACTATTTTTCAATAAGCATTGTTTAACGGTATGTCTCATTTAGATGAAGTACAATGCTTAGATAAAAATAATTAAAAGATGCATCATTTTTTAATAGATGGTAAAGCATTTATCTGTGACTATTAGCAAAAACATTTATTTCTGTATTTCTTCTACTTAATGTTCTCCTGCTGTAGGGTGTTGTCTAAATGTTTTATGCTATGTAAAGAATACTCAGAATGTCAGAAGTCCTAGGACATACCCAAACCTGTTGAGCGCATAAAAATGTACTTGATCAAAGATTGCAAAACCTTTGTCACCTAGTTTATAATATGATAATATAGATCTGAACTCAAAACTGAATTCACAACATTCATGCAGACTGATTCAGTCTGTTGGAAGAGGTCCTAGAGAAGGACAGCTCAGGAGCACTTGGATATATTTGGGATATGTTTCGGGCCTTGGCACTAAAAGGAGACATGAATGAAATGTATGTAATAGGGAAGGCTTTAGATTAAGGTTTTTTGAGTGTTCATTTCTGACCATTTGCCCTGTGAAAGTGACTGAGAGAATAGTTTTCTGTCAAAAATGAATGTTTTAATCTGAAATAGTGATTCCTTTTCTCAGTAGTGCTAGACAGGTGTTCTTTTGGTGTCCTCTGTGACTAGTTAACATTTTACTGATATAGTGTTTCCACAAATAATCATTTTAAGTAGCTAAATGGAGAAGTGAAAAAAAATTTCTTTGTCCATCCACAACTAGTTCCCTTTAGACACCGCTAAACTTTAAAATATATAATTATGCAGCATCTGGGACCAGTAAGCATTATCACTGCTTTCCAGAGAAGGGAACTGAGACTTAAGGAAGGCAGGTCACCTGTTCAAGTTCATGCTATATGTCTACACTGCAGTGTCAGTGGGATAAATGAATTATACACCCATATTAACACACTTTGTGTTGCCAAGTTAAATGGCTTGAAAGTCCTTGAATGCTGCAATCAGTATGAACATACCTTAAATTGGGGAAAATAAAAGCATATAAATGCAGCACAGCCACCTGAGGAAACAAATGTCAACTCTAGATTGCTCAAGGTTGAAACATGCTTGGCTGAGTAATGGCATATTTAGCAAAACTCAAGAATGCAGTAAATGGATATTTTTCTCAGATTTAAATGGCTGTCTTCATGGTCTTATAGCAGCACTCAAAAGTTATAACAAAACATGTAAATTATCCTTTGTCCTGTGAACTGCTAGAAGGTATGAACATGTGGTTCATGTAAAAGAGCAATGTGTATGTGTTCATCACCAGTAGTCTTTTTCATGTTGTAACTGCTGAAATCACCCCTGATGCAAGGGCTTTTTGCTAAAGCAAACATTTTCATGAGTTCAGCAGCACTCAGTAGTAATTCCTAACATTTAGACTTTCTTCTGCAATCCATCAGTTAACCTTTGGATCTGATTAGGGCAAAGGCAAATGCTTAGTAGCAGTTATGGGATGCCTAGTCTATCATTAGAAATATATTTTTTAAATATGTTCTTTTCCTACCTATATTGCAGGTAAATCTTGTGTTTAACTGGAGTTAAAGCTGAGTACATTTCTGAAGTAATCATAATGCCAAAAATGTCACATTTACTGTTGAAGTTGAAAGAAGCACAGTCACGTTAAATTGGGGGGGGTGTACATATGTAGTTGTGCATGTATAAATATATATTCACACACAGGTATATGCATATGCACACGCACATGTTAATTTTTTTCCCAGTTTTCATACCTGGACATTGGCTCTCTTGAATTAAAATTACCT